CTCCCCCGGGCGGCGCGGGCACGGCCGAGCGGCAGCCGCGTTGGCGGCCCGCGGTGCCCGTGGGCGCCTTACCCCCCCGCCCCTGTGGGAAGAAGCCCCCTGCAGCCAGGCCTTGGCTCTCCGCCTGTCCCCGCCCCGGGCGCGCTGTCGGTGCGAAGGAGAAGCCGGGGATGGTGCCCCAGCGCGCCCTCACGGCAGGATCCTTCGCGTGTGTCACCCTGCCCCAGGTCACCTGCTCGTCCCGGGAAGATGCATTCTTTTGGCAACGAAGAAGCGGTCTCTCTGGAGCGGCTCTTTGGGTTTTTCTGCGAGTGCGTACGGCGCGGAGACTGGGAGCTTGCGCAGGCCTGTGTGCCCCAGCTCAGCCAGTGGCACGGGGACGGCCCTGAGAAGGTGGAAGCAATTCTTCAGGCTCTGGTAGCTTGTCCTGTGGGGGTAAGGTAAGTAAGGTACTGTTTTGGTTCAGTAGGCTTGAGTGTGAAATGAGGAGGAGCAATTAGTTTAGCGGTGACTGTGGGACGCGGGTACAATCTGGGAAACAACACTTGCTTCCGTGCTGAGGTGTCCTGGATGTGTCTAGATGTGCTGTTATCTGAATGTTGACATCTTATCACTGCCCGAGCACTTAGCAGGCTGCCCAGTCCACCGGGATAACGAGCACTGTTCATTTATGCAGCTGATGTGGTGATTGATCCAAGCTTAAAACTATTTGGAAGCATTTCAGAACAGATTTTGTTAGATCTTGCTGAAGGATAAGGAGAAGGAACATCTCCTGAAATTACATTCCTTTGACACCAAGCTTTGGTTAATTTAGAAACGGAACCGCCAAGATCAGTACTGTAGGTATTTTAAATGTTTTCTTGTTTCCCGCTCTTGAAAGACCTGCCAATTTCTAAAAATTTAAACTCTAAAAAAATTGAATTATGCTGTTAGTATCTTATTTCTCTCGCATTGGATTTTGAAATGGCATTGGGTTTACTCAATCCTAGTTAGTTTTGATCTCTGCTTTTCGGGTAGGTGCATATGAAGGGTGACTTTCTAGCACTTCAGGGAACATTGGTATTCCCCCTCTCCAAGCAGATGATCATACTTCTTCACATTAAAATTTGTGTAACATTTTGGTAAAGGTTCTAAGAAATAGTTTATACTGACAACAGTTAAAGGAGTCCGGAGGAGATGTGCACATGGTTAGATGAATATTGCTGATGGCCATGTGAGACATAACCATTTTTGATCTTTTTATCTTTGAATGTTGGGCTATCACATCTAAAGGCTTTAGTTAGCAGTGCTGAGATTTTCAAAGGCCAATAAACTATTTTGTGCTTTTTCCTTTTCCTAGTTCCTTTGACAGTATTGAATATGTTCCCTAACTGTTTAGGTTTTGGAATATGTAAGTACTGCAGCACATGAAAAGCTGATTGAAATTAGAAGTATTCTTTGTTTAATTACTACATTACTTTTAGTTTGGATGTAGAGCTGTGCTTGTGCTGCTGTGACCTAAAACTTAGTTTCATTTTTTTCAGGTAGAACTAGACAGAACAGGAAATAGCAGTGTTTGGCAAGCGGTCAGATTTCAAAGAAATCTGCTGAAGTGCTCAAAGAGGGCTATACAGACTGAACTTTAGACCAGAAATAAATTTCATTGTTTTGAAGCAAAGAACTATGGCAGTAATGTTGGTATTTGGCAGATCTAAAAGCAGTTACTTGCACAGCAGAAATCATTGAGTTAGTGTGTAAGGAGTACTAATATTCTGGTTTCTCTGCATTATCTTCCTGTCTGACTCGTCTTCAGCTGTTTAGTTGTCTTTGTTTTTATCTTACACAAAGAAATATAAAAATCAAAATTACCTCTGACAGTGTTTCCCTGAATCTTAGAGATGGGAATGATGTTGTATAATCCAGTGTATGTGCTTATTGCTTTTGTAGATGGGGACAGAATTCTAGCCCATGGAGAACTGCGTGGCTTTGGCTTCTTGTACTGGAAAAATGGCTTGCCAGGAATCAGGTACAGAAACATCTAGCTGACTTGCAAGTGCAACTTACAGCTCTGACTTCTAGCTGACTTCCAAGTACAAAATGTCTGCCTAGTTGCTTATTTAAATTATAGGCTTTCCCACATTTCATGGAATTGGGTTCTCAAGGTACCTGGAGAGGTGTATTGCTTTTGCTTGTCAAGAAAGAACTGTTCATCTTCTCCACACTGGGGAGAAAAATGGAAGGGTATTTTTTGTTTTGTTTAGGTAACAGAAGTTGGCTTTTTAGCATTGAGCATTTCTGTAAATGGAAGGCATGAGTGTATCAACTTCTGTGTTTGTGTAGCACCTTTCTTACATTAAAGATGAAATAGTTCAGGCATCAGACAATTCTCTATAAGCTTTAGATGGTGAGGAATGTGCTTGCTGTATTGCTGTTTTCAGACAGACAGGTGCAAACTAGTCTTTTTTCCTTTTTTTGTTTTTTGGTTTTTTTTTTTATTGGTACACTGGGATGTGAGATCATACTTTTTTTTAAATTCATTTGTCCTTGTCACTACTTAGGCTTCCATTTTTTCTCTACCTTCTGTTGAAGGATGTGTCTAATTGATTGGATTGTAATTCCTGACAGTGTGACACTTGTTTCTGTTTCCAAATGTATAGATAAATGGAAACCACTGGTGTGGGAGCAGAACTTAATTGTGGAATAGCCTTTAATTGAGAAATAGGTATCTTCAGAGAGATATTTCAGTCTGCCTCAAAATGTTAATGAGATAGCTAGGATTAGGTTTATATGGTAATGTAAATAAATAAAAGTTTTATTGGCTAACGCCTTTCTCATTCTCTTATATTGTTTCAGAAAACTGTTCCAGTTGTTCTTCAGAGAGAAACTGAATTTTTATTATTCTTGGAAGAACTACAGAAAGATGTCTCTGAGGAGGTTCTAAAGGTGAGCTACTTAGTATGCCCTACTTCTTGTTAGTTATGTAGAATATCCAACTGTATCAGGTTTTGGGATATGAATAAGGAAAAGGTGTTCAATATTTCTCTAAGGAGACAGAATTAGCAATTACAGGATGAAAGCAAACAAGGTAAACTTGACTGTTGATGAAAATAAATCTGCTTGAATTCTGTTAGTGACCAATGAAGTCTGTGTAAGTTACCATCTAACCTCCAAGGTCATGAAAGATTCCACCATTGTCTGCAGTGTTGCACAGAAATAGGAGACTCAGCAACCTCATATCTTTGTCACAATTACTGTCAGAGGCATGTTAGTAGGTAGAGTATGTTTTGATCCAGCAAATAAAGAAAAGGATGTTGTGGACTTATCTTCTACTGCTAATATTCTCATTTTTGCGCACACCAACCATGTCTCCCCTGCATATTCCCTGACCTGTCTCTTCCAGCCAAGGACAGCACTCGCATAGTTCCAGGAGTGCCACAAGTGCTGCTTAATTGCTGTTGAACTGGGTTGTTCCTCACCTTCCCACCCCTTACTGGGAGGGCTGACTGGGAGTTTTTGTTTGTTTGCTTTCCTCTTCCTAGCTCTGGAATTGCAGGTTTGCTTCTGTTAGCAAGAAAAATTATTGTTGCTTAAGAAAGAAGTCTGTGAGATGGCTTCTCAATCTGTTGGCCAGTTTAAACCAAGTCTGAATAATTAGCGTTGATGAGGATGATGCAGTTGGTAAATAGATGGTATGAATCTAGAAAAGTAGGGTTAAAAAAAAAAAAGACTGAACACTAATCATCATGCTCTTACTGACTTATGAAGATACAGTCACATCAATGTATTGCTAAGAGATAGAATACGGTAGTGCTTCAGCCATTCCATAGGAGCTGCCTGTGAACTAAGGTAACTTGCTTATGAGCACACGGCCCATATAGCGTAGTAGTGTATTATAGGATTCTTTGTATTTTTGTTACGTATTCAGGCATATCCACTCTTCCAGGAAGGATATTGGACAAGGTGGACTATTATTGATGGATTTCCTAGGCCACAGGATGTTTCCAAATTGATTTATCTTCTTGCTTTCTCTTATTTTTTAAATAATGTATTTCATATTTTTAATGGAGTCTGAAAGGCTTACTGTTTTATTATTTCCCTACCAGGAACTGTTTGAAGCATTTGAGTGCACCCAGAACAAGCACATCACAGACAGGAAAAGAAGAGATGGCTGTTCTCACAGATTCAGTTTGGATGTTGTTTCAGCTCTCAGGAAGCTTTTGCTGCGGGCTCCTCAGAGGGCAAAAGCCCTGCTGGAGTTCTTCCAGGAGGAACAAGGCATACACAGCTCTTCGCTCGAGCACTATTGCTCTCTACAAAACATCTTTGTTGAATTTCTTCGTGACTCCTTGAAATCTCTACAGAGGCTTCAGTGCAGTTCTGAGATTTCAGCAGAACTAGATCAAAGAGAACTAGTGGATACAATTTATGCTGCTCTTAGTATAGTGACTTTTGAGGTGGAGCATCAGGCAGATGAAGTATGGCACCTGTTCAGGGAGCTCCTGGATGTATGCTGGACTGAGGGAAGCCCACTGAGGGAGGAGAAGCTACTAAGCTGTATGCTGAGGAAACAGAGTCATGGCCTGTTAAGCCTGTATAGCAGTGTTCTCATAGAAAGAACAAGAGAAAAATTTCTGGTGTCAAAATCAATACGAAAAGGTTTGTTTCACTTTATGCTTTGTTTTCATTTCTTGTTTAACAAAGCCATTGAGGCATTAAACAGGCAAGTTGTCAAGAAGTTGAGTAGTGTTCTTGCTAAGGTGCCTTAACAAGCCATGGAGTCTTGTAAAATATGATGATAAAATGACTTAAAGCAAGGAATTGGCATAAGAACCCCAGGGCTCTCCCTACGTTTCTGCAGTCTATGCTGCCTTCTTTTGTAAGCACTTCCTTTACCACCCCTTGTTGTGCTCTATTTTAATCTGCTCAGCATTTCTCCTGCTGAAGATCTTGCTTGTAACTAGAAAATTGACTCGCCATATGTATATAAATCTTTTACTGGTTCAGCTCCAGCTTGGGATCATCTGTGTTGGAGGATGTTCCATTTCAGGCCAATAACAATTCAGCTACCTCAGTAATCCCAAAACATTCAAACCCCTTAATATTGGAAAAGAAAGCTTCTAGAAGTGAAAGGAGATGTGGAGTGGGCCGATATCCCAGCTGGAAAGAAGATGCAGTTTGCTTACCTGCTTGCTTGCCAGAGCCCAGCTGTTGTTTTTGTACCAGCTATAACTTCACAGCTTCTGTCTAGCTCCCTATGACTGGTACATTTAGTTGAGGATCTCAATTGAAGCTGAATGGCAAGTGGTGCCCATGCTCTTATGAGGAAAGTGGCAGGTGAGTGCGCAAGGAGGGAAAAGGTAGAATGCCTACCCTATTTTGCTCGCCTCTGTACACTGAGGTATAAGTCAGTGAGGTTTGTATCTTCTCTCCTCCCTTCGCTCATAGGGATTGCTGAAGGGAAGTTCAAGCTGGTGTGGAGTGGCAGACTCTGGCATTTCTGATAATAACTACAGTTAGTGCTTCCTCACTGGGGAAGAGAAATGGACATATGGATGCCTTCACTCTTACTGGGAGTAGTTTAATTCTTGCTTTGCACAGATCTGAGAAGTTCGTTTGCTGGACAAGTCTTTGCTAAGGCCCTGCAAAGCAGCATAGTGTCTCGGAGCACAAGCAAGAATTCATGCAACATACAGATAAGATGTGTATGACTAGAGAAAGAAAGGCAGTATGACCTGAGCTGATGCAAACAACCTGCGTGCCGAACAGGCTCTTGCTATATCAACAACTGTCCAGACAGTTCCCTGGTTTCCTGTCTGACCTTTTTATTTTCTATCAAATTTCTCTGCTTGGCTTTCTTGTTATCCAGTAACAATATCTGAGAGTCTTAACTGTTACCATGTAACGGGTGGTTAGTATTTGAGGAAACCTTGAGTGTTTCTCAGTTTAAATTAACAGTAATTATGCTTCTTTCAAAGGTGCCCCTCTGTACTGTGAGGTAATCTTGTTGTGATGTTTTTTAGGTTCATCTGAGCAGCTGGATACAGAGCGAACCATGATGAGTTTGTTCTCGGATCCCAAAGAGTCTCCTTCTTGGAAGACAGCCTATTTCTACTGCTTGAGCAGCAGCAAGCACTTTCTGGAACAGATTCTGGTATGGCCATAAAATCATTAAGAGGGAAACCCAGTGGTGGCTAAAGTCAGTCCCTGTATTGAACACGTCTTGATGGTGCACATAAGCATTTTGTATTCAAATAGTGTTTAGTAGGGGTCATGACTTATAGGAACAAGGAAGTAACTGGTGATAACTCCCCTACTTTCAGCTGTGTAATGAACTCAAAATATTCAGTGAAATTTTTGGAAAAGCTCATCTGCATGCAGACAAGATTAGATCTTCAAGAAATCCTATGTTCTGATTGTAATTTTCTTGGATATACCACTTGATTTACCTCATGACCTTGAACTTGTTGCTTTGCTTTTCTGATGCTGGTAGACTTGGGGCAGTGAGACTAGTTTGCACTGTAAAATGTATGTTTTAAAGAGCTTGAAGACCTGGTGAAAAATACTCTGGTATGAATTAAATTATTTGAATTTATTTACATAGATGGAAGAAATAGTATACAGGTAGGTTGTCACTGTTAAAGTGCAAATTTTTAAGGTTTAACATATTTCCACTTCTAAATAATGTGCTCATTCAAGTTTCTTACATAATGCCCTTGACAGAGACGTAATCAATAGAAAGAATGTAAAGATAATGTAGTGAGGGAGTGTGAGCTGGCTCTGTAGTAAGCATTTGAAATGATGGTTTTTTTCCTTATGACAGTTTTACTGAAGAGTAACCTGATGGCTTGGAAAATATAAGTTTAGGGAAGTTCCAGATGCAGAACTTCACTATTTTAGTGAAGCTAATACTGAAATGGCTACTTGCTTACGTAACCTGCCAGGCATTATAGGTCTCTGCATTTTGGAAAGATAAATACTTCTTCCTTTTCTTTTGTAGGTGACTGCATTAACTTTACTGAAAAGAGAAGACTACTCAGGCCTGAACAGCTTATTGAGGAGAGAATTCAACCCCCTTTGCCGCCTCTTGGTATTGTTAGGATGGACTCATTGTCAAAGCTTGGAATCAGCAAAAGCATTGTTATGGACTCTTCACAAAACTCAGGTAAATCAGCAGAAAGTGGCAGCATCCCAGTCTGAGTCCAGATAATGCAATTTGTTTGCAAAAAATAAATAAAAACAGGGAGTTTCCAGTGAGAATGTTAAACTTTCTCAAAGTGGAATTAAAAAAGCTAAGATGTTACAGTTGTGTGTAGGTAACATTATTGGACACTTGCCTTTCTTCTTACTTCTCAGCTGTGAAGGGAGTATGATTGCACAGGAGATTCTGAAAGTTTTTCTGGCATAAGCTCTTCAGCCTTGGCTGTTAACAGAGAAAAAGACAGCAACGGTTGTTGATTAGTTTTTTTTAAGAGCTGGCGGATGTTTGGTTGGTGTTATTTCATCCAGTGAGTCATCACTGGATAGTGACTAATTCTGGTCACAACTAACCTGAGTTCAGCAACAGAATAGCTTGGAAATTTCCCATACCCGTTCTCAAAATGAAATGATAAATGACAAGAGCTGTGACTCAAAGATCCACCTTGTCTGGGGGGAGTCTTCATCTCTGAAGAAGACGGTGTAGCTGCAGTTCAGATGATGTCTGCTTGCAGGCAAGTGGCTTGGACTACAGAGGTGGGGAGACGGGGAGCCTTGCACTGCTGGATCATTGGGACAGATCTAGGCTGGTATTGCCTTAAGGCAGTTACCATCTATTGGTAACAGACTGAAGGTCTATGCAGTAGCCTCTGCAAAGTGAAAGTCTTAGATCTGATGGAAAAGGAGAATAACTGTCTGCTACCCAGTATATCATCTGTTCTAGTACATGATTAGCTCTAGAGGTTAGTGTCTTAGACCATTATTAAGAAGCATTAATCGAAAGCTAACCTTGAAAAGGGATGTAGCCACCTTTCCATGGTGTGTCGAGTGGAGGCTGACTGATTTGGATGCTCTTTCAGAATAGCCCTTTCTTGCTGGCTTTGTAATAAAACTGGTAACTTTCTGTACTTGAAAGTTCCCATCTGGGTAAAGAAGTCTTACAAACATCCCATATGAGACACAGGCTTGGTTCTGCTGTCTGACTAGAGGATTTGTTGTAAAGGGATTCTTTTATTTATCTTTCCATTTAGGATCTGTGCAATGATTCAGTACTGAAAGATTTCTGTGACGGGCTGTGGGCTCGGGTGGAAGTGCTTGAATGGTGCATACAGCAAAACAGGTAAAATGGTCAGAAGGACTTCTTCCAAACTGTCTTGCCAAATCTTCCCATTAGTCAATTTATGTATGCAAATAGAAATTGTGTTCTTTTCTTGTGAATCTTGGCTAATCATCTCTTGGTGACTGTATATCACAAGCTCTTGAAATTGCTTCATGGCCATTAGTTCTGCTATTTGTTTTTCTTTTTAACTGCAGTAGTTTGGTTGAATCAGAATTAGAGTGGGAGATAAGTCTTTAAACGTGGCTGAGACCCCTAAATCTGTTTGTGACACCTCTTTGTTTGTTCTCTCTTGCAGTATTACTATCCCAAGGAAGGTTCTTTTGGAACACTTGCACGGTCTAGATTGCCACACTGCAGTGTACTCTCTTCATCATCTCACTAATCTTCTGGCACTGAATGAAGACGATGTTATTGAGCTTCTTCAGAAAGTTCCTGCTAGAGACAAACAGATGCAGGGTAAATGTGTAGGGTTGTGAGAACACAGAAAAACCCTTATCCATCAAGTATGTGCTGCTCAGTATTTCTGCCAGGAAGAATCTGTTCTTTTGACCTATCTCTGTAAATAAGGAAGATAGTGCTTATCAGCTGTTTCACAGAAGAAAACTAGAGAGCATGTAAAAGTTATTTTAGAGTCCTTTTGGGAAGTAAATTCTCTCCCAAGAAGGAGTTGTGAGATCTCTTTGATCTCACAAGGACAGATCTCTGAAACAGTGTTTTCAAAATGGTAACAATACTTTGCACATGCTCATAATATGCTTCTCGTTGTAAATTATATACTGTATAATACCCTTAGCTTGAAAAGTAAGTGTATATTTTGGATTTCAGCCATCTGCACTTAAATTTAAAATCAAAAGGCAAAGCCAGATGAAATTGACAATGTCTCATACTATAACATCTACATTTTTGAAAGATACAAAATGTTGGGTGTTTTTTTTTTCTAATATTAAGTCTTACCAAATCTACTTTAATATTAAAAACCAGTAAGGCTTACCTACAGGCTGTGTTTACATCCCTCTTGGTTCACTTCTGTCATTTTCCCATGTTCCAATTTGGTGCCTAAAATACCTGAGATTCCTAAACACATTAGTTTGCTCAGAAGTGACTCTCCTTGTACACTCTCTTGATTGTGGCCTATGTCCAGGTTCAGCTGCTGCTATTTAAAGCTCGTTTTTGCCAGGGCCTCTTAATGATACAGAAGCTCGGTCTTCCTGCATGTACTAGAACCTAAGAAGCTGCAATTTTTTGCCTCATTGCTTCTATGGATGGGAATTTGTACATGTGTAATTTCAACCTGAGTTGCATGGAGACCTCTCAGTGATGGATCTCACATGGATTTTCCAGGTTGCCTGGTGGGAAGCAGTTTTCTTTCCTTCTGGTATCATATTGTTAAGATGTTAGTTTCCAGTCCTATTTTTACAGGTTTTATTGTTAAATATCATGACGGTTGTCTTGAAAGATGTAATGATTGAGACTCAATATAGATCTCCAGTTTCAGTGTCCTGCTTTCTGAAATTAATTGTTTTGTTGTTGCTGATGCTGGGGTCTTGTAATCAGTTCTTGCATTTTAATTATTTTCTGCTTAAATTCTATCAAAACCTTTCAGAAACAGGAAGAGGCAGTCCCATCATACCTTCTGGGAGCTGCATGACTGTAGCAAAAGAATTCTAGCTGTGGTTTCACTTCTTTTTTTCAGATCACCTTGATTTACAGAACTAGTTAATGAAAGACAAGTCCTCTTTCTCTTTTCAGCCCAGTGATTGTTGTAAAATTCAGATAATTCTATAAACACAGTTTAATAGAATCTCCTTTAAAATAAAGGAGGAGAGGAGTGATGAAGTTCTGATTTGTCTGAGTTCGTAGTGTTAACAGGCCCTTTTCTCCCTCACCCCACATACTTCCCCTTCTTTCTGCCACACGTCTGTCAGCTGCAGTAGTGAAACTGAAGTAGAGGTACTGGTAGACAGTTGTGTTCAGGCACCCTTCAGATCAGTGCGTAATGCTAGCTTTGATCAGTCACACTAACAAAAGAAATGATGGGCAGAAATTTCCTCATGAGTTACAGAGTTCAAGAATGAGGTGTTAATATTTCTGCCGTAGGAAAAACAAGTGCTTATAGTTAAAGAGTCGTTGTGTGGTATTAGTACAAGGAGAAGGGTTGGTTTAGATGCAGATACTGACAGAGACTCACTGCATCCAAGTCTTTCCACATGGGAGGCAAAAGTGTATTAAACTTGCATTTGATTACTAGTGTGTATCTTGTAGTATCTCCAGCTAGCTATTTCTCTTTTTCAGAGGACTGTATTTATCAGATCTCTGGCTTCACCTGCATGAAGTCCTCTTAAGACAGTGTATTGACAGCTTTTTGGGTGCTACATAGTAGTGTAGAGCTGCCGGTGAATTACAGCATTTCTGTGGCATGCGGGTTCTGCAAAGGATTGATACTTAGATGTTTCCTCAGTTCTGTCTGCTGGCTGCATTATAGTTTCCACCATTGTTGCTGTTTAGAATTGCAGTGATAGGGAATAATTGGTTTCAAACTGTTTGTGCTCTCAGGGCTTTTGTCTTGGCTGCTCTGTAGTTTTCAGAAGAGTTCAGGTGCTTTTCTTTGAAATCATGCTCAAGCCTTGTGGAGGATGGTACTGAAACACTTTCTAGGTAGTGCTGTTCAGTCCTAGAGTTTGGATGGGGACATTGTCAGTACATCAAACCAGTGCTTTGTTTAAAAAAAAAAATAAAAAAAAAAATTGGCTAATGCTTCTCCTATGTGCCAGTAGGCAGAGGGACAATCTACCCCTTGTATGAGAATGTAGGATAGTGGATTCAAGCACTAATTTAACACTGTCTCGTGTTTTTGTTGTTGTTGGTTTGTTTTTTTTTTTAACCTTTGTACAGGAGTTGGATAATTCATCTAAACCCAGCGTAACAGAATATATGACTCTATATTGTATTCCTGGGTGAGGGGAATGATAATGCAACTTTTACATAATTTGCAGCTCTTATGTTCTGTTGTACTAAGAAGGGATCATGGCTCTGGCATGCGACACCTTCTTTCCTCAAAAAAAAAGCAAAAGGGAGAAGGAGTGGGTGTAGTACTTCTCTAAGTTGCCTTTATCATAAATGTGTGAAGGAAACTGTGGGACCGTACTTTTTCTTTAATCAATTGCAGATTTTATATAATCTATATGGCCGGCCATTGTGGATAGAATCAACCGTGATGTCTATTAGTAGAAATCCATAGAGGTCGTGGTAATCTATTCTCACTACAGTCATAGCCAGTCTACACTATTTCCCTACTTATCCACTGTGTGATAGAACACACAATTCTAAGATGCTGGAATGCGACAGGGTCCGTCCCTGTGTTGTAAATGCAGCAGTGTATGTAGCTTAACCTCATACCTCTAATGAGACTCATCATGACCAGATTTTGATCATTCTGTGCTGTAGCCAGGTCCTGTAACACAAATTCACAGAAATTTTCCTTTTCAGAAGGGGATCCAGACCTGGCTTGTCTGTGCCTACCTGTTGTAGGTTTTTTGGGGTTTTTTTTCGTATGTTGTGAAGTAACAGTGAGATAGAGCAAAGCTGGGAAGAAAGATGTGACACTGGGAAAGAAAGACTGGTTAAATATTGCTGTGTGGGAACTGCAGGGGAAAATTAACTTGTTTTCTCATCTCCTTCCTACTCCTTCAACACCCTTATTTCCCTCCACAGCGGCAACACTCCCTAACACCCTGAGTCAGCAACGCAATCTGGCACTGTTTCGAGCATTTTGTGCCATGAAGTATGCTATCTATGCTCTCTGTGTGAATTCTCATAAGCATTCCAAGTGCAAAGATTGCGTACACAGCCTTCTTGGTGATATCCCTGAAGACGCAACTTCTGGAGAACCAGCAGGTGATTGGCCTCCTTTCTCAGGTTCAGTAGCCTGTGCTTCTCCATTTGCTAGGCTCTGATTTATCATATAGTATTGGCATAATATTGCACCCTGTGTACATATGATGTTTTTATTCAGTGGGCTATGAATGCTTTGCAAACAAGTATAATGGCATTTCTTTGAGGTGTTGTTACCTTTAGTAATAATAGATATGAATAAGCTGCCTGTCTTGTTCTAAAACATTTAAGGTAATTGTATTAAAAATGTTGTGCAAAAAGAAGGTGATATTACATACAGGATGATAATGGCAGGGATGCTTTTGTAAGAGTTTATGATTTCCCACAGCTAAAACTGATTTAATGGCTAAAATGGGTGAAATCTGAGTTTGTACATCATTGCGCAAGGCGATAATTGGCATTACTGAGAGGGAGGGGGTACACTACATTTCTAAATGTAAAATGTTGGACATATATTTACTTGATCTGTGGAGGAATTATCGGCTCTAAGCCACTGGCGCAGTTCCCTCTTCTAGGATTTTCTTAAATGGCAAAGGTTGGGGGAAGGAACTTCTGAAAAATCTTGTAAGTGTCCTTTATTTTTGTTTTTAATTATACAGATTGCTCTTCAGTATTTCCTCAGTACCTTGTGAAGTGTCAGCAGTTCTTAAGGAGTGTTCCTGTTCCTCTGCGCCTGGAGGTTTTGGAGAACATCTTCTCCTTGCTTTTTGTTTCCTACAGTGACCTCCATACTGAGGCTTTTCTACATGAAGACTATGCAGAGGATGATGATCTTGACAAAAAGACTACTACTGTGAGTGTAGAAGGCAGTGCTAGTCGGCGGTCTTCTACCTCTGAAAGTCCACAGCACCTAATAGAGGCTGAAAAGAAATTAGAGAGGCATCTGCTGGCTGCTGAGACAGTTCACACAGATACCCAAGACCTTCATGACTCGATGTTAGGTGGCAAAAGCTGTGAAACCTCTAGGCTGAGCTACCTGGATTTGAAACACTTCACTAGCGGTGTTACTGGATTTTTAGTGGATGAGGTGGCCATGGATGCCTTCCTCACATTGCTTCTCAACCATCTGGAAGAAATTCAGAGTTGTCTCCCATGGGACTCCAGTAACGTTCTTCGTGAAGAGCTGGAACTTGTCGAGTGCTTGAATCTTTCTGCAAGCAGAGACACCTTTGGAAGTCGTGTGTTACAGTTTTCCAAGTACCTTTCTGAAGCTCACTGGCGATACAAGGTGGTGATGAGTAACAGAAATGCAGGTAGGCTTTGTATTTGGCACTTTCTGATGTATTGACACTGTTCTGTTACAGCTCTCTAGGCAGTGGTCTCAAGACTAAATTCCCTGAGCATCTTACTGAGGGAGCACATTTTGGCAGATAATAGGAGAGTGACCTAGTTGGAGATCACCTGGCTCTTGCACGATTTTCCAATAGCAGTGATGTCTATTCTAATAAGAAAGTTTGTGTTTTCTTTTTCTTTTTTCCCTCCCCTTTGTGGACACACTGCTTCAGTTCGCCTGTCTTTCTCCTGCTGCTTGGTCACAAGTTATGTCGACAGGGCAGTGATATGAAGGGACATGGTGGTGTGTGATCCTATGCAAGCCAGATAGACTCATCTCATTCATGGACGGAGTGTTGATTTAGCCTAGTCTGGAAATGTGTTAGGAACATGTATCAGAGGAAGTTGGATTATTCTGGGATGCAGACCACTCCTCAGGAGTAGCTAAAACAACACACTCGGGAACCTGTTTCCCACCCAGCCTTCTCCATATCCTATAACTTGTTAGCCCTGCTACTATCAGATTTCTGCTTGTATCATAGTGTGGCTTATTGTGTATCTCAGACCATGCAAAGTCCGTGTCCCAAGAAAGACTGGGCAGTATGGACCTTAAATGTTCCAAGTTTCCAAACTTGTGTTCAACTATTTCTAAAGTCTCCCCCTATAAAGGAGGGGATGTGATGGGACTTACGTTTGAGTAGGCAGCCCTTAGTGTTTCTATTGGACAAGCAGCAACTTCTGTGGGATTCTGTACTTTTGAGTCCTGACTTCTGACAAATGTTGACAACTATTTGGGGAACATCTTTCAGGGAAAGGTGGCTGGCTTTTCTTGACACTGTCTAGCTCTTGGATTTTCTGTCTCAAGGGCTGGAACCCACATTGCTTGCTCACTTCCAGAATTGTTGACCGAGTCAGGGTTCATACTGCCCTGCATTACTGAAGAACCCAGTTGTTTCAGCAAAATGTTAATGACAAATCAAATTCTCTCTTTCACTATTTTAATTCTTATTCTTTTCACCTTGTTTCTAGCTGTTTATGTACTTGGACTATACCTATTTTTTTGTATAGTTAGAATCACAGAATCATTTAGGTTGGAAAAGACCCTTAGTACTCATCAGGGTTGTAGAAGGTGTAGTACATATATATACATAAGCAACATTGGATGTGAAAACCACAGTATTAGTTGAGTTGCATCAAAATTACTTCCAGATGCTGGTGTAAACTTTACTGCAGAAGTGCTCTTAGCTGAGATCAACTGTGTTTTCTTTGGAGATTTGCCATCATAGCTCTACCTATGTAGATGTGCTTTAAGGTAGACAAATAACTGTTAATGACCTGTCTACCTATTTGGTAATGTTTTTGCTTAAATGTTTCACAGAACATCAGCTTGCAGCTTCCAGGAGATACTGCTCTTTAATCAGGTGCTCCAGCTTTAAGAAACGAAGTAGATCTCAAAGGTACAAAACAGGTGGGTTGAAAAAGTCACTTGGAGAAGACATCTCTGAAATGTGCATAGTTTTGCTGAGCTCATAGCTGAATGCAATTAGATTTAATGGACTAGGGGTAGAGGACTAGATTTATTTCCTTTAATTTTCTAACTAGTTTGAAGTGTCTTAGTCCAATTCCACTTGGATTGAGGTTGTTTTCCTAAAGCTTACCTGCACAACTAAAAGATAACTAATTTTAAATTCAGGTAAGAAAATAACTTCTTTCATCCATAGTCTGATTTGGGGCAGAGGAGGACTTTGCAACTACAGTACCAATTCTTCCCTTTCTCCACTATATCCAGTGACAGTTGGGTATATATTCATTCCTACCACAATAGTATCTAGGATGTGAATTTACAGGAATTTGTGGCTTAAATTCGTAGCCTTAAGAGAAAGTTGCGTTCCTCACCCTTTTTCTATTTAGCCTTTAAAAGGTACATCTGGTTTTGGAGTGGGATGTTCCAAAATAAGCTTTAAACTATCTGACATGAGTCAATGATGAGCCACCCCAACAGACTCTCTTGCCTAGCATTTTCTTCAAATCAGCAGTTTTTGCATTTATCATAGACATCAGTGATGGCTCATTTGCAAGATACTCTTGAAGATCTCTTGCGGTTGCCTGATCTGTTCTTTGCAGTAAGTTTTAATTACCTTGTCTAGAAAAAGTGTATTTAATGTGCTGGTTTTGATTTGTTTCCATTTTAGATGGGAAAGAGGGAACTACCAGTCCATCATTAGAAAGCACAAGTAGCGAGCTAAGCACCAGTACCTCAGGTATTAAGCCACAAAACCAGTATTTCTTTCTTACCAATGTGCATAATGAACTATTTGCTTGACTAGTCAATGTGAATTACTGCTCTTTGCAGGACAGAATTCAAACTTTTCACTTCTTGGAGCTCCCATTTTTGGCTGGCTTTTTCTAATTAGAATAATATCTATAGTATATATCTCTTCTGGAATAAGAAAATTAGATTTTTCTTGATATTTTTGGCTTGCGGGAAACAGTATGCAATGTATTGACGTGCAAACCATAAAAAAAGCTAATAGACTGGTAGTCATGTAACCTAAAACATGCTTAGGCATGCTAAATTGATTTAATAGGTGCAATACTTAAGACTTCTCCCTTTATCCATATTAAACCAGTGCCCTAGCATTGCGTCCACATTATGTAGGCTCTAAGCAGTGTTACATTTGGCTGAGATCCAAACTGAAAGTTCTGACCAAGTAGTGAAATATTATAAGAATTTTTAACAAGATCTTTATGTTGACCTCTTCACCCTAAAACTTCATTGTGACTCTGCTTCTATATTTTTGTGTTAAACATGTCAAGTACTGTTATCTAATAAGTTAGCTGTTATCTGGTGAAATGTTTTTTCCATAATAGTATGCTGACTAATTCTGTTGTCTTGCAGAGGGAAGTACCAGTAATGTGTCTGGCTCAAGTGATTTGGAAAGCAGGGTGAGACCACACCAGCAAAACCCACTCATTCCTATGATGCTTTCTCCACCAGAATCACTGTTAGTTTCTTGTGTTTTGAGAGGAAACTTCGTAGAAGCCCATCAGGTAAATGAGTTGCATGTACTTTGTGCAATTAAAAATCTAATTTGGTATTGATGGTTGTGATAGCTAATGAAATTCCTGCTTCTTCTGCATTAGTAAGCATAGGGCTGAAGCATTCTGCATCAGTGTGTTATCAACATTCTTCTCGTACTGAACTCAAAACATAGCACCGTACCAGCTACTAGGGAGACAATTAACTCTATCCCAGCTGAAACCAGGACAAGCAGTGACCTGGCTGAATTTCAGATAGTGATATCGGAGCAGTTAATATTATTTAAGTGTTGCATTAGCAGCAGGTTACTGCTCAACTCATTAGTTCTGTTTGACATCACGCATGCCACTTCATCTTTTCCCTACTTACAAAGCCAAAAGAAGCATTTTGGTTTGCTGCTTTACTTTGAATTTCAGTATTGCTGATGGTAAAGAATTCAAGCTTGGTTTGTATTCTGTTGTTGGTTTGATAATAGGAACTTGCACAGCTGTGCTTATCTACTGTGTGTTTAAATTTCTAGAAGGTATTTCTTGCTGCATAAGAATTTGTTTAAAATAGTTTACTTTGGAGGCCCAACTTCATAGATTTCTTTCGTTACATAGTGTATTGAAATCATGAAGAGTCATTCTGAAAGGTGTGGTTTATGAAAATTAATTCAGCTCTAGCCTTGCAGCAAATAATAGCTGAGCTTTATAAAAACAGTTGAAAAATGTTTGTAAGGTCCTGTTTTTCAGGCACTAAAACCTCTCTAGAACCACCACCCCCACCTCCCCCATTTCAGCCTGCTGTGTCTGTGGGGACATTTTTCAGTTAAAGTGTCTGTTTTATTTTATTCCGTCATCTCCTCTAAAAACGCCCAAAGCTCTTTGACCTTTGAAAGCTTCTTTTGACATGCTCTGTAATTACATCTTCTGTTATTTTTGAAAGGTGGCTTTGATGTTTAATCTGGATACTTCACCTTGCTATGGTGAATTGGTTTTCATGGAGCGCTACCAAGAGGCGGTACGAGAAATGGCAAGAGTGGAGCACAATATTGAGAATCAAGCATCAGATGGCACGGGAGGCATCAGGAAATCTGGCAGTGGCCGTTCGACCCTGCAAGCTATTGGGAATGCAGCAGCAGCTGGTAGGGGCTGGGTTTCTTGAGTTCTTCTCAAAAGGTGGGGGAGAAGTGGAAAACAGGAGGAGGAAACTTGAATCCTGTCATAATGAGTGCAACAATTGTTCAGAAGAGTAAGTTGTGGTTCTATGACTTAAAAGGAGTCTAAGAATGCTGAAATTTGCTGTTGATGCCCAATTAGTTTTATCCATTCTACAGTAATTGGTCCATGAAGCAGGCCATTTATTGAATTATTTTTCCTAAAGGATTAGAGAATAATTATCCATGACAGGATCTGAGATAAATATGCTGTTTAATTAGTGATTTTGTCGTTTTGCTGATGCATGTAGGTATGGTATTTTATTCCATCTCGGATGTTACTGATAAATTGCTTGCAATTTCTGGAAGTCTTGCCCCTACTCTCCAAGAAAACTTCTGGATCAGCAACATCCAGCTGGAGCATACTGATCCTCTCTGGGAAGTCCTTGAGGACCTCAGTCCTTCAGCAATGGCGGCATTTGATCTAGCTTGTACTCAGTGCCATCTTTGGAAAACATGCAAGCAGCTTTTGGAAACAGCAGAAAGGCGACTGTACAACAGCCTTGAAACTCGGGGTAGGCTTTTGATTTTTGTGTTTATCAACATGGGCCTGGGAGTAGAAAACGCTGCTCTATGCTGTGTTGTTTGTGCTAACACCTGAGTCTTAATTAAATCTCATTGTGTACTTGCGTGTTAGTTTCTCTTTTTTCCACTCCTAACTTTTATTTTGTCCCCCTTTGCACAATGACTTTTCCAGGCCACCGACCTGACTTTGTTTTACTGCACTCTGAAGGTGTAAAGGGTTTCCCAGCAGTTCTCCAGCAAATAAATAAAATTCTCAACTATTCCTGCACATCACAAGGGCAATCCAAGCCAGGTAGTATGCCTTGCTGATAAGCACGTTTCAACAGAAAATCTTAAATCAAATTCTTGCCTTCTGTTGCAATGGAAGTTTGAACTTCCAATTTTTTAGCTTAGTATTTAAAATAAAAAAAGAGGGGGGGGGGTATGGACCCAAGCTCAATTCTGAATAAATTAAACACTGAATTTGGCAAACTAGTTGTCTGTAATACAATTTTGGTTCTGTGGGACTTTTTCTGTGCAAAAATATTTTTGTTATAGTTGCTGTTTGTTTCTCCCTCTTTGTAGAGGTCTCAGATGAGAAAATAGGGAGTCATTTTCGATGCAGTATTGTAGATCTTCTGCAAGCTTGCTACCCTGCCTTGACAGAAGAAAGTATTACTAATGAAATTGTTTTATCACAAAATCTGGATCAAATCCTAAAAGCACTGACATGTGTTGAGCATTCTGTGGGTGAGTTATCTTTTGTGATTGTGAAGACTGACAAGTGGATCTAAATTTTTGTTTTGGCCTGTCCAGACAACTATAAATCTAGTAGTAATGTTCTTTGATGTATGCATAATTATATATTTTTTAAAATCCTAAATGCAAAGTGTAAAATCTATCTGTAATTCTTGTATTCTGAGCGTTTTGTTTTCAGAGCTAAAATTGTGAATTTGCCAGAGAAGAAAGGAAAACATCAATAAGTACAGTCGAGGTTATTATTTGTCCTACTTTTCTTCAGTCCTAACAAGGAATTCTTTAAGTGTATTTTAACCTGACAGGTTATAGATAATTAGGTGTATCCTTACTGTTGCCTTTTTTTTTTTTTAACAAAAAGGAGATAAAGTTATAAAACTATTGTAACATAATAATGCCTTCCAGTTTTCATAGGGCTATCATAAAACATCTCATCCTTTTCTGAAGAAGTCTTCCACAGTTGCCTTTTCTCAGAGTTCTCTTCATTATATAGCACTGGGGTGTTTTCTTATGCTTTTTTTTCTTTCTCCATTCACCGAGTTTCTAAATGGCATGTAGGTGTTTGTGAAATATTTAAAGATATTTGTATGTTTAATGAGCAAAATTTAGGAGAGCTCTAAGGGCTAAATGTTATGGAGCACAAGGACTGGTCAAGACCTGCATTTTACAATAAGCTTATGTGTTAACGACACACAACTAGATATATTTTAGGCCTGTGTTAATATATTTCTAACTCATCAGACGTATGGTTACTAATTTAGATGAACCATTGATTTATTCTGCTGTGAAAATTTGTCTTGCTTTCCATAAAATCATAATGCCCAGACTGAGATCTGTAATTACAGAGAAGAAATCAGGCTAAACAATTTCTCTTCCCCGCCCGGCCCTCCCCCCCTTCCTTTTTAGCATTTAATACTTACTTGAAACTTGAATGTATGTCTGTTCTCTTAAACCAGACTCTAAAGGAAACCTGCTTGGGACCTTGGTGGAGCAGGCCTCTCTCAAACCTACGGAGCTGGAGAAGCACCTGGTTTGGAATCAAACACAGCTCCTGCTGAGAACTCTTGACCAAACCATGCCAGAGAGCAACATGCAGACAAACTTTGTGAAGGCCTTCTTTGACTACATCACTACACTGGCTGCTGTTGTGTTACGAAGCCTGAATGCAGAGCTAGGTAAGGGGTTCCTGCTGGAAAGTCTGACGCTAGGTGAAGATACCCAGACTGTGTAGCCTGGCCTGATTCTGGAAAGTAATTGTGCAAAAATGATTCCTTGCCAAACGTGCCTACTACCTGTGCCTAGTCAGATCTTTTGCTTTCAGGTATTATTGCACTGCTTTTTCAAATTTTATTTCTTAACACCTAGGCCACCCTCAGCTAAGATAAAAATAGCTGATGGCAGTAGGAAAACAAGAACAGAAATGTTAACTGCTGACCCAGATTCTGCACTTCTTTTAGACAAAACAAACAACCCCAACCTCCAAAAATTCTGATCAGTACCCTGTAAGGTGAGATTGATTTTTGCATCCAGTGGATCAGCATGCTGGGCGCTTTTCAGCTCCCTTTGAGGCAACCAGTGCCCTGCTGCTCCACAGGGATAAGAAGAGAATGTGTAGAAGGCTATGCAGGGTAACTAGGCAGAATTTTTTCTTAGAATCAGCAGATGATGGTGGTCCATGAAAAGAAATGCATCATCAGCACATAAAACTGTCAGAAGGACAGAACAATTCACTGTGCTAGGAGAAAAAACACTGGTCTGGTTTTTAGAGTTGACACTAATTGAGCTGCACTAATGTAAAATACCACAGTACTGATTTCAGAGAATACCTTCCCAAGAGGATAAGAAAAAAGTGCAAAGATCTGTTTTCAGACATGCTGGTTCAGCTCGGGTCACTACCATGCCAGCCATAACTTCTGTATGGACGTGATTCAGTCCTCATTGACTAACTGCCAAAGCCAAAAAATGCACAGTATTTAAGGGCTGTGTGAGTTCTGGGGAAACTTTATTGTACTGGAAGATAAAAGGAAAATGTAAACTTACAAGAATATGTTCAGAGTTACTTGACATAGTGGATACAAAGGCTTTTCAGCAATACTGACCAGGGTTTCACTCTTTTTGTAAAAGTAGCTTTACATTTGTGAGTTCCCTCTGCCATTGCTCACTTTGACTTGAATAGAGCATGGACTCACTAATCTACATCCAGAGACTCCTCAGAAACCAGTACTGCACATTTTCGGTCTCTCACTGCAAATACATGTTTTGGTGAAAGTTTGAAGTAGAGTTGCTAAACTGTTTGAACCTAGATCTCACTTAAAGGCCAAAGACTCTCCACGCTACCTGTTTTGGTAATAGGTCCGGTAAAACGTGAGCCAGTGGTGCCAAGTTTGAGAGGTGTATCGTAATCACAAATGCCTTGCAATTTACTCTGGATTTTACCATGCTGTTAATGTAGACCTCTGTGAATTTAGTCAAAGAGGTTTCAGACTCCAGGCTCTTAAAATTTGTGTTCCTAAAATAAGACTTGGTTGGTGTATTCAGCTAATGTGTTTGTATTATAATAAATGTTTTGATTTTTTTTTTCTTTTTTTATTTTAAAGATCTATCTGCAGAAGTGAAAGTGGGGAACCCTTTCATCCTGTTACAGCAGAGTCCATCTCAGCTGCTCTCCCAGCTTGTGTTTGAGAGACAGGTTCATCCTGACAGGTTGGTGCTTTTCATATTATATACTTCTCTAGGTTATCTTGGTGTTGATGACTTTAGACCTCAGCCAGGATTAAATTCTTCTCTCGCTGCTTAGCACAGGTAGTACAGCCTGCTGTGTCCCACGAGCCAATTACTTAATGCTGCAAGGATTAGTGTGCAGGGAGGAGCTTACTCAGTGGCTTCTCTGCCAACCTGAAGATTTTTGACAGGGAAAACTGTGGCTCCATATTTTTAACAATTACTGTCTGTTGTGAAGAGAGAGTGCATTTATGTGGATTTTTTGACTGAATGTGTGGCAGTTCAGAGTGGTGGACTTGCAGCTTAGCAATGTAATAAAATACAATACACCAGTAGGGCTTCTTAAGAATACAGCTGAGCATGGCTCTTGCCCTGGTCAGTAGGTAAACTGGATAATCTAAGGTCCTTCTATCACAAATTACTGAATTAGGCTGGCATGGAAAGTGTCTGATTTGACGAAGTAGCTCTTAAAAAGATGAGCAGTAATGGTGAACCATTCTACTGTCTCGCATTTAGGTAAAAGTCAGTGTTTGAGGAGTAACTTCTTTAAAGGAATGGCAGCGTAAGCTCCGTGTTATTGATGTTGTGCTGTGTACGGGGGGGGGTTTTCCATACTGTAAACATAGGATATGTAGTCTTCCCATGTATGTACCTGTGAAGAATATTAGGGGGCTTATGTTCACCAAACATTTGGAAGATTGATGAAAATACATAATCGTAAAGTACCTTTGATATGTGCTGGGTAAGCTGGTTCTGTTTTCAATCCTGCAGGCTTTCTTCTCTCTTGGCTAAAGAAGAGTTGAACTTGAATGTGCAGGAAGTTATTGTTAACTGTTGCTGTGAACGACTGTCCTTGTGCAGTGCAAGGCAAAACAGCCAGGCAAAGTCTCTTCTGACAAACATCAGTAACTTAGCACACCAGTGTGCCTACCACTGCCTGCCAGATGTTGAAATACCTTTTCACAATTCTGCAGTGACCTCTGAGGATAACTCCACTCAGGGCCCATTCTCTCTGAATGACTTGAGCCAGCACACACTCACTGCATCCTCCCTGGACTTCCTAAAGTCTCAGTCGAAGCTAATGGCCACAGTGGCATGTCTAAGTGCATCTAATATACAGAAAATTCCCAAATCGAGTTTATCTTGGATGGAATTTCGGGGCAAACGGGAGGTGCCCTTAGGTTTGGAACAGATTTCCAGGGAGTGTGAGGTGTTATTGAAGGACTTCCCAATATTGGAACGATTTCTTCTCACTATGTTTGAGCCACTTCAGAATCAGCAAGAGGAAGGTAGCAGTTTGGCTACTGTCTTCTCTGGCAAGACATACATATCTCTGGTTCTCCTAGGATTGCATTCCCCCACAGCTGTTAAGGTATTAATGGGAGTCTTGGAACAAGCTCTTGCTGCAAAGGATTGGGACAGAGCTCTGAAGGTCTTAGATCTGTACAGTCAGGATGTGGAGGAGCTGGTCAGTGTGAAGGATGCTGTGCTGAGCTGTGCAACTGCTGAAGGTAAGAAGTATTCAGTCAAGTCAGGCTTTTTTCCCTTCATCTCTTCTTTTTTTATTATTATTTTTTTATTTTTAATGAAGAGTACAGCCTGGACCAGGAGGTGGAAACTAAAGTAGTGGTCCTTGGGCAAATCCAAAGATGGAAACAGATCCCTTCCTTTCCTTCATCCTAAATTTGCTTTCTCTGATGGTGTCGTTTCTGTTTTGCAAATGTGCAAATCCTGGCCAATTTGGTACAAAAGAACTGGAATGCATCTGTTGTGTTATTTTTATGTGAAAAGCTGAATACATCAGGAGACACTAACCATAGTACTGTTAACGGAACATCTTTTACAACAGTGTCATTGTCATACATGGATGATACATCCTGTGAAAGGAGGTACCTTTTGGAGTCTAAGGATAGTAAGTATCCCATGCTAACTTTGGTTACTTCCCAAGAATCTGATGCTTGGGATGAGTCTTGCACAGATTTTTCAGCACTGCACTGTTTCATTTGGTGATGCGATCCAGTGAGGATGAGGAATTTTTTTTATTTTCCAAATTGCAGAAACCGAGTTTCAAACTAGTGGTTTGTTTCCTCCACAGATAAGGATGGTTGGCAATACTTATTCCCAGTAAAAAATGCAACGTTGAGAAGTAGGCTGGCCCTGCGCTGTCTGGACAAATGGCCCCTTGATGCCTGTTTGGAAATCCTAGCTTATTGCATTTCTGATTTGGGCATAACTGATGAACTAAAAGCCAGTCTGCAGAGCAGGAAGAAAGAACTTCAGGTTTATCAAAAGGTACAAAGTCCTTCAAGTAACCAGTGAGATGAAATAGGCAGCTGGGAGCAAATATGCTTGCCCTTTGGAAAAGTTTTAGCCCTTGGTTCTTTTTTGATCGTAATAGCTTTTCAAGTCTTTCATCCAAAACAGTTCATGTGTTTTCAGTGCTGTAGTATCCAATTAACACTCTGCTTCCATGCTTCCATCCTTCATAACCTTCCCACTCTCCTATTAGCATTCAGGTCTGCAAACATGATTAGACATAAACCTTTGTGTGAGGCTGCTTTCTTGCAAGGTATTTGTTTTTCCATTCTATACAAATGCTAGAGCCTCTGGAAGTTTTCCATGGTGATTCATCATTTTATAAGCTTGAGAGGTGCAGGTGTACCTAGGCACGGTGTACAAGACTAGCAGTCCAATAAGTGTGTTTGTATTGCAGTCAGTTCTTCTAACTTCAGGGTAGTGCAGATACCCAAGTTAAGTCAGACTAGTTGGCCTGGAGTTAGTTCAGCACAGACTGAAAAGCCAAACGGAGCGAAAAAAGGAGTTGTAAATCCCTGCTGAGCTCTGTCTCGTGGTGGTTCTGCTAACTGACAGTTACCTCAGTTGTCTCTCTGTTAGTGCCAGCAATGTCTGCAGTATACGTGTAGTTTTTCATCCCTAATTATTGCCATCTAGTCTTTTAAAAACCTTCCCTTATAAACGTGCTTTGTAGACTCATACCTCCAAGAAAATTGCATAGTCTTTGGAGTGCAAGTGCATTACATCATCCCAGAAAAGGGCTAGAGATAAACATGGCTCTCCTTTTCGACTGTTTTCTTTGTATGAAGCAGCTCTTGATGTGATCAGCTCAGCTGTTTTCTTAGACTTAATGATTGTAGTAGATAAAGCTTTTAAAATCTGTGCTACCCTAATATTAACTTTTTCAGATTTTGAATGTGCAAAATGAACCATTATGGAATGACTGGCAAGATCTGAAAAAAGCCTGCACTGATGACCCCCAGGCCATCATGAATATCATTCTGAAAGCAAAGGTTAGGCATCATCCTGTGAATTTTGTTGAATTAGAATGCTCTAAACTTTGAATAGATAAATTTGTTGAAATAGCATCTTAAAACACTCATCAATGGAGATTACCTTGGGAGGAAGGATTCTGTGCTACAGAAACAAATACAGATCTGTGTTTAATGTCAAGATTTACATGTAATTAATAATCCTTAGTTTAAGTTATAAGTCTTACTCTGAGATACAACCTGTTCTTTTCTCTTAGAATTTTGAAGACTTTAATAGCATGGCTTTTGACATAATACAGGCTTGATTATTATATCAATACTAATACTGTAGATCTGGCTGGCTTTAAAAGTGTCTTTCTAAAAAGCCAACTTGCTTACTGTGAGATGAGAAGGCATTCTCAGTGCAGCTGTGACTCACAAAATTGAGTATCATCTTCTTGTCAATGTAATTATTTACTTGTTGCATGTGGGAGAGTAGTCTAAGCTACAGAATTTCTGGAGAAGTTGATCAGAACTTTGGGAGAAACAGCTGTATCAGAGAGGGTAGAGTTTGTCCCTCTTCTATTTATTTATTTTTTAAATTCTTTAGGATTACGAGTTGTTTGAGGAATGGGGGCACTTGTATCCTGTCCCAAGAGAAGACTTGATCAACCTTCACCGTGAGCACCTTCTCCACTTACTGGAGATGGGAGACATGGAAAAAGCATTGCAGGTAATAGCAAAACTCTTTCAGCCTTATATCCATAGGTCATATAAGTTGAGAACTCTTTTCTTTGCCTTCTTCATGTGTGTTTTCATGACTTTTGGCTCTTCCCTTAAGAGATGCTATTTGCTTATATGTATATTGGGAATCCTGGCTCTCCCCTGTTATGCTTAAGTGAAAATCCAGCTTTGCAATCTAGTCGTTGGACCTAATAGCATAAATGTCACTTACATGGAAATACAAGGCCCCTTTAATTTGAAAAATCATAATGAAGCATTTCTGTGCTGCTTAAGCAGAAGAATCAGAAGTGAAACTAATAACAGGAATTGGTCAGTTGTGCTTCAGTGCCCAAATTAGTGAAGTGTGAATTCTTCTGATTTTAATAATTACGGAGCTGTTGCTAATAACAGTGTAAAATAAAGTGCAGGCTCTGTCAGACTACATAGCTTTGAAAATATTCTGGAAGCAAAGTGGAGACTTCTGATCACTATACCTTCTGTCCCATTCCTTGCTTAATATTTGCTTACTTTAATTTTTAAAATATTTTTATTAATAAATGGAGCAAATAGGCAATGAGTAGTCTATAAATGGGTTATCTAAATCATTCTTATATATGTAAGGCACTTGTGCAAGTTAATTTGTTGGCTGGGCCATTGTAGGGTAATAATCTGTCATGGACTGCCTGTTATAAAGGCTACTTTCCAGGAATGTAGTAGGCATTCACTGTATTTTGTTTGGTTTTGTAGCTTTTACAAAGAATTGAAGACCCTGGTATTTGTCTTGCTATCAGTGAACAGTCTCTTGACCAGCATCCAAACTTGGCAGCCTCTCACTTCTTGGCTGACTACCTCACAGCTCACTTCTATGCAAATCTGACAACAGCACGCCGTAATGAAATCCAGGCACTCTATATGGGATCAAAGGTGAGTAAAACTCCTGCATTGTGGGATTAACAGCAATATATAATTACATAAGTAACTTTATAATACATAATATATATGTAATATATAAAGCTTGTATATTTTACCAGAGCATTCTCACCATATCAGGTCTAAGATCCTTAGTCTCGGGATCCAAAGGGAACTTAGAGATGGCTTAAAACTTCTCTTCTCCTTCTCCATCTTTGCAGTTCCTATATTATGAGGTGGTTGTATGGTGTTTGAGCTGTAGGGAGTGGAGGAACACACAGGTGAAAAGAGGGTGAGGGTGGAATAAAATAAAATTGTGGTGTTTATCAGGACAGTTGCTGTCTTTGTCCCAAGTGAAGAAGAAAACTTCTTCTTCTTACTAAACTTACTCTCCGTGTCAGTAACATCAGGTGTCCTACATGTGCCCACCTGTATGGTGGTCTTTGACACTTGCATGGATTGTTTCTCCCAAGTACCTTCCAAAGGCAGACAGTATCACTCCTCTTTGGATGGCCATTGCCTTTGCAGAAGTCATACAGGTTCTGTGCTCAGCCTGGGAATAGATGCATTAACCAGTAGATTACCTTAGTCGAATGCATTATATGTAAACAAAATGCAGTGCTTTTGGTAATGTCTGTTTTGTTGTAGGACTACAAATAGCAGCTTGTACCAGTGTGTGCCACAACAGTATTTTGCTGGGCTTCCTGTTTCCTTACTTGTCCCTTCTGAAGACATGATTTAATTTGGAAAGTGTCTATGTTAACTGTCCACCTTTAGGAGAACTGCTCTTAATTTCTCCTCTTGATGTTTCTGCAAATGATGCAAGGATAATGATTGGGCTAAAATTCTTTTTATAAGCTTATTTTAATAAGAGAATATGCTCTACCCTGCTACAGCATATTTGTCACAAGGTCACAAAGTGCTTTCTAGTCTTCAACTGCCTCTGAAATGAGGCAGTGTTTTATAGAATGGGAAAGTGGAAGCTAAGTAATTTCTGCAAATCCACTCAGTAATTCTGTAACAGGAGTAAGAATAGGTCTAAGTCGTCCTACCTCCATTTTTTGGCCTCTATATGTTACTCCATTCTCTGCATAAGCTACTGTGCTAGTTTCTTGTCTTTAATCTCACAAAAACCACAGATTTGAAGGTGTATAATTTTAACATGTGCTTTTTTCCTTGTCTCAGGTGCTGCTGACTCTTCCTGAGTTCTCCCGTGTTAACTACTTCCACCTCTCCTCCAGGCCACTGCTCATGCTGGAGCAGCTTCTCATGAATATGAAGGTGGACTGGGTAGCTGTTGCTGTGCAGACACTGCACCAGCTCTTAGCTGGACAGGAAATTGGTTTTACTATAGAAGACGTTGACAATTTGCTCTCCAAGTATGCAGAAAAAGCTCTCAACTTCCCTTTTGCATTAAAAGAAAAGAGATCAGGTGACTGTCCATGAGAGTGCTGTTTTTCACTTGGGAAAGAAGGGCCAGTTTCCCCCAGAATCATTTCACCAATAGTGCCGCAACATTTTTAGATTTGTGGCTCCAGTCTCCCTGTAGTCTAGGACATGTTCTTAAAGTCTTTGCCTTTCTTGTAAACAGATGTTCTCAAGGACCAACAGCTTCAAAAGTTTCTCAGACTTTCCTCTGTTGCTTCTTTTTGGGGTCTCTTTTCTTATATGACATTGTTCAATTTTCTTTCATTCTTGTTTAACGCAAAGTCACTGACGACTTAAGCAGTTCTAAAACCTGCAGCCAGCTGCATCTTCCCCCAAATAGAATGGGGATTTAATCTTCCATAGTTTTTCCTCCTACCAGAGTCCTGTTCCTTTTTTCATATAAAAGACTTTCAAACTTGTAGTTCTATTTAACATTCTCAGCATGGTTCTTCTTTCTGGTTTGCCAATCCCTTCTCATCCATGTCGCCTCCGAATCTCCTGCATCTGGCTCGCTCCTCTCAGGGTTTTAGAACTCAACACCAGAGGGTGCTGCAGATCAAGTCCAGTGCTTTTGTTTCGTTCTTTTAAAAGCACGTGGCATGTGTACCTATCTGTATCAATTTATACCTACATATATGGTACCAACTTGCTTTATGCAAGTTTCCAAATGTTGACTTCATTTCATGATTTAAAGATGCAGCTCTTGCTAACATAAAAACATCAGACTCACCTATCTTTTCCTGCCAAATGACCTATAACTTTGTGAGTATGTTCCTTCCACTGCGATATGAAGCATTTAGTATTTGCCATGAACATCTTGTGTCAACTAATTGTTTTCACATCTGATACTTATTTTCTGCTGTATTATTCCTCTGGCTATCAGCAGTCCATTGCTTTGATAAGGATCCCTTTCTCTGTGTTTTAGGTCATTGAATTTTATATAGTTTTGCGTAAATTGTTGTGGGGTAATTTTCATGAAAACATAGTAATTTGTAATTAGATAGCTAGTTCCGTTTTGTGCTGACATTCTTACATACTGCTGTGAATGGATTCCTGTAATCTTCATAAAAACAGGTGGTTGTATGGCCGGTATTGTTCTCTGATTTTTATTTTTTTTTCTTCCTTTTGTCCTAGATTCTCTGATACGTATCCAAGAAAGTCTCAATCAGGCATTGGAATGTGAAGCACTGTCTAAATCGGGATCATCAGAACTATCTCCTGTCAGCTTTACTGGTAAGGCTAAGACCTTGGTGCCATTTTCTTTCAACCTGTTCTTATTTGTTTTATCCCCTATGTATGTGTGTCCCACCACTTAATAGTAACTTGGGTTGCATTTAATGCACATTAGTACGTCTCTACAGCTGGGTGCTTTGGGCCAAATTAAAAGAGAACTTAAAGGGGAACAAGAAGTATATGGCTTTGTTTTGACTTTTGGTAGGTGTCTACAAAATATCTGAAAAATCAGCACAAAACCTTTCCATTCCAGACCTTACAGAAAAAAACAAGCCTGAACAGACCATAGGAAACAGGACTACATCTGCAGGAGAAAAAAAAAATTACCTCTTTGCCACAGCTAGGGTGCTAGTGGATTAATGGTGCTGCAGGTTAATCCTTCTGTGTCTTGACTTCTGTACTCTCTCTTTGGGTATATAGGCAGAGCTTGTCTGGAAGCCCATCATTGTGGGACTTCTCCTTGTCTTCCTATTCTTTGGTCAGTAATTTTTTTTCTTCTGGATCTTAACTTTGGCTTTACAGTAGAAATCTCATTCATGTTGTATTTTTTTGTCATTCTTTTGGTCCTTGAATTTACTTTTTTTCTAGGATCCCTCTTTTGACCTGAGGGAAATAGCACACCTTGTACTGTCTGAGCGGCTCCACTTATAGTCCTCAAACACAAATAAATGTAAACAAAATAATTTAAGCTGAAACAACGGAAAAATATTTGTAGCTTAAAAAAAACCCACAAATCCTTCTATAGGTTCCATTCAGCATCTAATGCAAGAGATGCACTCTTCAGAGGACATATATTGAGAGATGCATGGTCTGTGCTCTCAGGGAATGACTAGCAAAGGATATCCTCAAACCTCCAAGGCTGGTGATTCTCAGCAAGTGATGGGCCTGAAGTAGAGTTGCACAGTGATATCCTGATCTACAATTTAGGGTGTCTGAACTGTTCCCTGGTTCTGTATCCTGAACTGACGACTCTTCTTGCTCTGCCTACATGAAGTGACAGCAGTGTCTTGGATTGGGCTGTGTAGCTCTTCAGTTTTTCTCATAATGGTCAACTTAATATCTGTATGTTGTTACAAAACTTGAATGCATTGCCCTCTAATGTTCTTCTGCAATCCAGTATCTACTTGGATGAGCATGAGTTAGCTTTATTGGAGTGGAGATTTCTTCTTTTTTAGTGTAGTATTCAGGTACACAGAAAGTGGCTTGCAGGGCTGCAATGACATGTTGAACTTTTTAATTAGCCTGTAGTGTAACTGGCTCACATCATATAAACTACAAGCCTATCTAATACTGTAAACTTGATTCAATGAGTATTTCATTGGCAAGGTCAAAGATCCCGAAGGCCAAAGACTTAAACTGCTGCCTCTTTGAACTGGTTTTCCCACAGTAGATTGTAAAGGGGACCAGAACAGGGAGGGATATGCTGTTGCTAGCCATACCACACCTCACCTAAGATAACAAAGAAAAGTCTTGGTCTTCAGGAATGTCAACACTGGGTATACTTGAGATTATATTTTACGCTATATCGCTTTTTGGTATCCATATACCGTGGTACTATTTTTTCCTCCTCCTCTAAGTCTCTGCTTATGATACAAGAACAGATGTTGACAAGTTGTCTTATACTTCTCTAATTGTTATGGTAAATGTCTATTAATAAGTATGTACTCTTGCTTACCAGTATCGAAATACTGTAAGTTTACAATCTTACAATTTTAGCTTAAAGCATATATATTCTTTTCACAATGTTATTCTGCCATGCCTGATTGAAGGATAATGGTAGTCGTCTTGTGAGCTAGAAAGATCTTATAGCCTCAGTAAGTCTGTAGTGTTTTCTGGTATTCAAGACTCCATTAAACAGCTTAAATCCCATTCCATGTTTTTCTTGGCCTGGCTTTTTTTTAAGGTGTTACCATATCTGCAAGTCCCAGAGACAGAAGTCTGCAGCAGAATTTGTTTCCTCAAGAATTTGTGCCTCCTGAGAAGCCGCCACCAAAGCAGCAATGGATACCTGATGACACTGAAATGATATGTATGGTTTGCAAAACTGAACGCTTTACTATGGTAAGGAGCAAAACCAAAGTACACACATTCCTAGAACTGTGACCTTAACATGAACGCTTGCTCATAGTCTGTTTCCTAAGAGACACTAGCTACTTTAGCAAGTTTGTCTGCATCAGTGTAGGCCTGACAAGATTGCCAGTCCCTTGATATTTAACCATTAGTTTCTATTTAGTGTAGTTGAGGAGACTGGCAGCAGTTAGCTCCTTGCAGAGTCCTGTGAAGTGATAGAGCCTAAAGAGGAAATCTGAGCATCAGAGAGGAGACAACTATGAGATCTCAAAAATGTGTGATAATAGCAGTATTAATATTTCAAAAGGCTGTCTAACTGACTGTGCTGGCAAGAACTAACATGAGCATCCTATAATTCAGATTACCCATATAGAAAATGTAATCTTTGCTGTTGCTTTTCTAAAATCTGTTGTTTCATAGAGTACTTAACAACTGTATTGGCGCTCTAAGGGAGAATATTAATTTTGAGTTTTGCAGGTGTTCTGGCAGTCTGTTATCTTCTGTTGCTTAGAAACAGTACTGTTTTCTCAAAGTATCTGTTGCTTTTGAATTTGAAAATTACTAAGATGGTGTCAGAAAGGCAGTATATAGCTTCTAACTTTTCCAAGAGATGGTCTAATTAGTGCTGTGGTCAACATTGGGACAATTTAAATAGTGGAAAGCCCAAGACTGCAGCAAACATGTTTTAAGTACCTACCTCTGGGTTTTGGGTTGGTTTTTTTTCTTTGCCATGCCCTCTCCAGAAAGGGATTGTAACAGTGAGAATCAATCATTGTGTAGTCCTGAAAAGCCTTATCATGCATGGTGTTTCCTCTCTTCAAATGGAGTAAGTTTACTCATGAATGGAGGCATATATAGGAGGGGACTTCAATAAATTCTTTCTGTCGCTCATCCATGACCTCTTTTGCATAGTTTAACAGGCGCCATCACTGCAGGCGCTGTGGCAGGCTGGTGTGCAGCTCTTGCTCCACCAAGAAAATGGCAGTAGAAGCTTACAGAGAAAATCTGTCTCGTGTATGCGATCAGTGCTATGGCTACTACAACAGAGAACATATGCCTGACTTGGTACAAGACACAAGCATGTAAGTCCTTCCGTTCTAGTTCTCAATTTCATGTACAAAGCAGAATGTGTGAATGGAACAAGAGAGAAATAAACATTTGGGTTTATGTGGATAATATAATAACATCAGCTTTTTGGTCTCCAACTGTTGGGATTTTCAGGTTTGGTAGATATGGCAATGTTCCTTATGCCTCAGTTTACTTTTCAGATTAGAAAGAACACTGGAGAGCTGGGCAACAAAATCTTTAATTCTATAAGCATCAATTGATCATTAAACCTAAGAACTGAATGCTTTGATGCAGAAACTACTACAGTGTGACAAAGTTTCTTGCAGTTTACTTCGCTCCTGGATTAACATTACATGTTGACTAGCTCTGCTGAACATATCGGTATTTTAATGTTATTCCACAATCCCTTGATTACAACTCCTTGAACCCTTGGGGATTCAAAAGCAAGTTCATGATTAGATAGGCTTTGAAACTGCCCTTAATAAAAGGGACAGCTGTGATGACAGATTTTCATGATGTGGTTGCTTTAAGCTGAGAATTGGACTGAAATTTGTTGTGTGTAAGTTAGGCCAGCTGGTTTTACTCTCTGTGACCCTGTTAAGCCTGCTTATACTGCCATAGCTGATACTGCCATCAAGGTCACAGAGAGTAAAACTCACTCTTTTCAGCTGCACTTTCAGCTGCATTTCCTCTTTTCCTTGCAAGCCTGCAGGTAGCAGTATCCACTATGGCAGTATCCTAGGCTTGCTAGGAAAAGATGAATACTGTGCAGATATGAAAAGGAACCTCTGAAAAAACAAGCAGTCACCTCTAGCTAAACCAATTTGTGTCAGAATGGTTGCTTATACTGCCAGATCAGGTCATCAGAGGCTAGCAGTGAGCTTGAATGCCACCTGTCATGGTCTAATTGCTTAAGTGCCTGGGGTTTTTTATACTTGCCCAATTTGTATATCAAAACCAACTAAATCTTAAGGATGGAGACCTGGATGCCAAAAACTTCATTTTAGCTCTGACATGTTCTGATACTGGCAGTTCTTCTTGTTCTCAGTGTCTGCTTCATGATGTGTGCAACAGTACTATTCCTACAGAAGGTTATAAGAACTGATTACTTAGTGTAGTTGAAATACAACAGTGCAGAGGCAGGATCTTAGATTTCCAGACAGTAGGGGGCAGGGGCAGGGCAATGGGTCAGAGAGGGCAGGGAGGGAGAGATGTTAGATTTTTACAAGACAGTGTTCTGAAATGGCTAGCCGTATTGATCTCTCTTTTAAAACTATGTTTTCCCCAGTGTGCTGGAGTAGGCATGATGTTTCTTTCTGTTACTTTATTACAGCAGAAAAGAAGATCCGGAACAAGTGGAAGGTAAGGAATGGGGTAATGTTAAAGTTCAATTTTTTAAAGTGCCTGATTAGCAGCAGAGTTAGAGATAGGGAGCTGATACATCTAGTTGCAGCTGAAGGGTGATCAAAACTTGAATTACAAAATATCACTGATGGTTTTTGCGTTTGCAGGCTGAAATTGAGCATTCCAAACTTCTGTGAATGGAAATTGAGATTTAGGAGAGATGTCTTGGCCAATTTTGAACATGCTGGATGGGGATTAAAGGAAGGAACTGAAAAACAACAGTTAGAGAATGCACCTTGCATACCAGAAACAGTGAGAGGCTGTGGTATGAGTAGGAATTAATTAGCCCATTACACACCTGTGCTGAGTGATCCTCTTTTTACAAACCATGATGGTACAACTCTGAATACCACTGCAGTGTGCTGTGGTGTTTGATACCCCATGCTGGCTGGGGGTAGCACAGGATGAGGCCCCTCTGGTTGTGTCCTGAGTTCCATCTCCTTTGCTGGTTGTGTGAATATGGACTAGTAATTTCTCTTCGGTGCCTCAGTTTCCACATCTAATATAACACTTCAGGAATAATAACAAAATTTAGTTGACTTTTTCTTTTTACCTGCCATTTTTCCTCAGAAGATATTTACTGTTTGTTGCTTAGTCTGGTGTTTGAGGTGATTCTGCAAAATTTTCCTACACTGACGTGAAATTGTGGCAGACCAAAACATAGTTATTTGAAGTGTTTATAGCAGTAATGTGAAACATGGTGCTAAATTTGCATTTGTGCTACAAAACAAATTAAAATATTTTTCCTTACTTGTCGCCTTTTTAAGTATGATGGGCTATTTGAGGGGGTTTTTTTTGCTGTTGACAGAAGTTTGCTTTACTTACTGCTGCCTTTGTTACAAGACTGAAACAGCTGAAATGCAGTTTCTGAGCTGCTGCTTCTGGTTAGATCTTTCTCTTTGCCTGCATCATTGCTACACAGCACTGGGCCCTTACGATTAATTCAGTAGGAGTGAATAAGAACAGTACGGAAATCCTCAGATTTAAGAGGGAAAGTGTTTTATTCTGCTTTTCTAACTTATCTGATGAGACTGTGAAGAAGGCTTATCATATATCAAATATTTTCAAGCCTGGTTTATTGTAATTATTCCAGTTTCCAGTTCAATTTAGAAATAGTGTTTTTCTCTTTTTTTTTTCTTTTTTTCTTTTATTCACCCTACAGTTTTAGTTACTCAACACTCTTAACAGTCCTTCTGTGAAATGTAGAGCAGTGATTTTTGAGACTTTTTAAGTTTTTCGAGGGAGAAGAGGAAGTTGATCAGGGCAAAGAGTAGTAAATTAGCATTGTTCTCCATTTCTTAGCATTGTGAGATTGGCCATTGTTTTTCTGCCAGGAACCACAATCACAAGTTTGAGCATCAGAGGGCTTGTGCACTCTCAGCTGCACTCAGATGACAGACAGTATTTGATCTGTAACTATTCTGGGTTACTAATTTCAAAACAGAATTTTCCTTAATCTGGAGGAAAGAAAAAGACTTCACAGAAATGAAATTTCTTGAATCATTTGATCAAATACCCAATTTTCTGCAGTACTAGTTTATATGAAAATGTAAGGAGTTAGCTCATCTTCTCACAGTCTTTTGTCCTCAAGCTGCTGGGCTATATGTTCAAATAACAAATTCTAAAAAGAAGATACAGGCAGTTAAGTCAATTTATGCTTTATTTTACAACTTGTTCTTCAGTTTCCCTTTTTAGCTGTAACCCACAGCTGTCGTGTTTCCACTTCCCTCCTGCTCAGAAATATTTAATAACTTAGCTGAGGGAAGGCTAAAGAGGGGAGGTTGCTGTGCTTGATGTCCAGTAGGATAAGAGTTGGATAATCATTTGAAGACATGTCACTGGAGCCAGTTTTTGGTGACAGGGTGTTGGTAACAGTGAGAGTAAGTTTAGGTACAATTTGGCAGCCTGCTGAGGAATGGAAATGTTACTGTAATCTGTGTGCTGGACATGTGATACTGGCAGGAAGTGGCACAATGAGAGGATTACAGATAACTGTTTTATGAGAGTATAGGAATGCTCTGCATTATGTGTCCTTAGCCAGCTTGATTGCTTCTTGTACAGTGATTCTACCTGGTGTTTTCTTTTTGGCTGCAGAAACTTCTAATCATGAATATTCCACAGTGGTGCGAATACCCAAGGCGACTGAACTTGAATGGATTTTTTCCCTGAACGAAGAGGAGAATGAAATTGTACGCAGTGAATTTTATTATGAACAGGTGAGGTCTGGAGAAAGAGAGTCCAATATAATCAGTTCCCTGGAGAACTATCTCAATAGCCATGTTTGTCTCTCTTTCCTCGAATTGTCAGGCTCCCAGCTCTTCCTTGTGTATTGCCATCCTTAGTCTGCACAGTGACAGCATAGTGTGTGGCCACCAACTGATAGAGCACTGCTGCAAGTTGTCCCAAGGGCTCGCTAATCCTGAGGTGGATGCTGGTCTCCTCATGGACATCATGAAACAATTGCTCTTCAGTGCCAAAATGATGTTTGTAAAAGCTGGAAGGAGCCAGGATCTAGCTCTCTGTGACAGGTGATTAGTCAGATGTTCACTAGGATATATTGAGGTATTGTTGAGACCATTATCCTTTCTTACTGGGGTGTGAAGGGTGGGAGGGTTGTTTTGTGATTGTACTGTGGACATTTTAAATAAGAAGAGAAGCTCATAATGTAAGAATTCAAATAGTAGAAATTCGAGTAGTATGACTACATGATAATTACTGAGAAAATTCTCAGAGTAGGGAGAAATAATTCACAAAGACTGGGGTAAATATTTTACTTTGATATTGTGTATTGGCTTTCAATCTATATTTCAATATAGAATTTCAAACCTGCATTTCCTGAGAATGGCATTTTACACTTTCTGAAGTTTTCTCCTACAGAGCTTGGGGTGGCAGGTGTAATACATGAATTTCACATGTACTAGTTTGATTTGGTAACATGTAGCTGGTGTCTGCAATCAGCGTCTGCCAGTGTTCTACTGAGTGTGGCAAAAACCCCAATAAAAAATAGTCTGGATAGGATAGTATGATGGATAGAGAAACCTGGTATACTGTTGATTAGGAACCACTGTTCTAAGAGTTGTCTTTGACATAAAGTTCTTTACGATAATAGTGAAAGTGTGTGTATTTGTTTAACCTCTTTGTTTTCTCCTAGCTACATCAGCAAAGTGGATGTGTTAAATATCTTGGTTGCTGCTGCTTACCGTCCAATACCATCTTTGGATCAGATTCTTCTCCCTGCAGCAGTAACAAGACTAAGAAATCGGCTTCTGGAAGCAGAGTACTATCAGCTAGCTATAGAGGTAATGACAATGGAGGGATGTCAGTGTTAATAATGCTTCTGTAGTGGCTTTTGCTTTTCTCCCTCCTGAGTTCAGATGGATGTGATGTGTGAAATTTATTTAAACAGTTACAGACTGGGATTAAATTTTTCAGCAGGGAAGAAATAATTTTCTGAACACTGGAAAAAAATTTCAGAGAAGGGATAGTCCTGCTGTGGAGCAGGCTGCTGAAGGGAAGGGTAGGGGCCTTGTTTCCCGGTACAATTAAAATTGGAATAGACTTAACTGCAAGAAAGTCATTAAATGGAGGAATCTTGCATCCAGTAGAAGGGCTGAGACATCCTTTGTGGCAGGACTTTATCTGAAGCTTGTATGTTTGATTTCATTTGTCTGTAATCCCACAGCAGACGTTAGTAAGACACCTTTCCCAAGCGTTTACTTGGATATCAGCAATGGTGGCAAATACATCTATCAGAGTTCATCTGGTGTGGTTTATCATCTGTCTTTCTTGTGCTCCCAGAATTTCATAAGCCTCTGTTTTATTGCATTGCAGTTTAAGAACAGGATTATGATACTACAAACAGGATTAGGATTTTTAAGGGGTAATAAACAGCAGGAATAGATGACCTATTTGAATAAAAATGGTTCATGTTTAAAGGCAGCTGGTGTACTAAAGAAAATCAGGAATAAATTTGATCAGCAAAGTTCTGTGAAATAAAAAATATCCTGATGGTTTGTGAAGCATCTTCTGTTGCTTTTTTTGAAACCACAAACCTGATGAATTCTGCTCTGTAAAAATCATCTGCTTTAGAAAAGCAGATGTGAAAATGTCCTGAATTTTAAAACTGCTGAACTGAAATTTCCCAGAAAGATAGTTGCTTAAACTTGTACAATAAAAAATACTTCCATGTTTGGAGATCGTGGGTGTTTTGGTAGTTGGCACTTTGTGCCAGTAATATGGAAATAATCAGCACTGAATTTTTTAGGTTTCGTTTTGGTTTTAATGGGAAATGTGCTCTAGGAAGTGAAAGGTCACAATCTCAGACTGTGTGGTAAGTCAGTTTTCCTGTTTTCTATACTGGGACTGTGTTGCAATATTAACGAATTATTTTGAATTTAGGTTTCTACAAAATCTGGGTTGGACCCAGGTGGAGCATGGCATGCCTGGGGCATGGCTTGCCTTAAAGCTGGAAACTTAAGTTCAGCAAGAGAGAAATTTAACCGCTGTTTAAAGCCACCTATGGATCTAAACCAGCTGAACCATGGTTCAAGGCTAGTCCAGGATGTGATACAGTACCTGGAGTCCACAGTGAAGCCCATACTCATTGCGGTAAGGGTCTTTTCTTCTGTCTGCTCTGAAGGGCTATAACAAACCCAAGTAATGATGTTTTAATACACATCTTATGGCAACACATGTTGGAATATCAGTTGTTAGGGGGTTTTTTCCTTCTTTTGTCATGATTGCATATTGCAAACTGAATATTGTTGGGAAACTTGTTAGCTGTTTCATCACAGTGAGTTGGTGGCTGAGAATCAGACAATAGGATTTCATAGTATCTGGGGACATACTTAGTGGAGGGGAAAGCTGTACTGGTTAACATGTTATTACTACAGTATGAAGAAAATAAACTCAATCCCAACAATATGTTGTGGTGCTGCAGTAATGCCATTTTTTTGACTGAAACTGATAACTTTGCAGGAATTCAAAGGAGGATTTACAAATGCTGTCCCACTCTTCTTTCCTTGTCAAAAAGCACTATTACATGGTTTGGGATTAGCTCTGGAAGTTCTGATTAGGTACCAAAAAATGACTTTTAATACTAAGTAACTGCAGAATCATAATGTTGAAAGACCTCTTAGTCATATGTATTTTAGGAGAATAAAAAAGCTTGTTTGAACTAGGTTATTGAAGTAGCTGTTGACAGTGGAATTGTGTTTAAATAAGCCTTCTGTCTGTCCCTGGAAACAGCCATGCTAGCTACAGCAACGTTCAGCACCTCTGTTGATAGCAGGGTTCCAATCTAGTGTTTATAAAAAGCATTACTGGATTCTTACCCCTCTAAAGTGATAGCTATTTTAAAAACAACAATAACAGAAATGCTTCAGGGCTGAGTGACAAGATCTAACTGAAAAGAAAGTTTTCTTCTTACTCATCACCTGTCATTGATTCTCTGCTTTCACGGCAGGATGATGATTACTTTGCCACGTTAAGGGAACTTGAAGCAACACTGAGAACAAGAAGTCTGTCTCTGGAGATGATGTGTGAGGGGAAAATTCAGCACAACAGCTACTATCAAGAGTGCTTGTTCTATTTACATAGTTACGGCACTAATCTGGCAATAATAAGCTTTTACATGAGGCATGACTGTATGAGAGAAGCACTGCTTCACTTGCTAAATAAGGTGAGTAATCTAATTTGCCACCACCTAAATTGAAATTTGAAAAGTAGCTAAGAGGGCTTCAAGGGTAGTCTAAGATGGTAATGAGCATCATGCAGCATTCTGGGTGTTTTTCTGCACAGGAGTTTTCTGAGGTCCTAAATGTTGTTATATGAACTATCCCGTGACTGACAAAATTCAGGGACATGAAAAAATAACTTTGATCTTTATATCTTGTGTTTAATCTCTCTTTCCCATTGTGTTGAAACAGTGGCTTCTAGAGAGGAGAAAATGTTTTGGTGTTTTTTTGATAGAGGTCCTGCATCAACAGCACTTTTATCTTTTTTCTACAAAGCTGAAAACTTGGGACTAATTCTCATACAGTTCGGAAGAGAGAAGGAAGATTTTGAATTCCAGTGTGCTGATAACACTAGACTTTACTCTCTATCACAGTAGCTCTGCCTCTTGGTATTGTTTGCTGAATTGGACATTCTCATTTGCACTTCTGTAACTGTTAGGAGTATAAGGGAATACAGGATCATGTCCCAGAAGACAGAAGTCTAGGGAAGCCAAAACGTGGTTTCCAGTTCTCCCTTAGGAAAACTGCATAATATAGGAGGGCTTAAGAATGTCTGGAGAAGACAGTTCTGTTGGTGCTAAATTACAATTAAACCTAGAAATTATTCCAGTAAGGTTCTCACTAATTCATTAAGGGTGCTTCTTGGGAGATGTGGAGGAGATGTGAATTCATTGCATCTCACCAGCCTGAAAGCTGCTAAGTGTGTGGGGTTTGGGGTGGTTTTTGCTTTTTTAAGTTTCTGTGCTTGTGTTTGATTTACTGATTTTTTTGTATTATTGTTATTAGAAATAATTCTTATTGAGAAAGTACAACTTGAAACATCAAATTCCATTATCTTCAGTCTGCTTACGAGCTTTATTAACAGAAAATTAATTTGTCTTATCAGCCCTGCTTTCTCATTGTATCATCAGTCATTCTAAGCTCATATACTTACCTACATATCAAATTTCCTTTTCAAATATGTCCTTCATATTGGTTTAAATTTGCCTTTAAAGTTGCATATTTTTGCAACATTGGTGAAATAATTTCACTTGTTAAGTAGCAGGCTTTGAAAATACTTTAGACATACAATTTGATGTGGAAGTTTTGGACAAGGAGACTAGTAGTAATTATGCAAACGAGAGAAGAAGGTTTGTTACCTTAAAGCTGTAAGGTACTAGGCTTCTGATGAAACATTTTGTAGTTGGTTGGTTGGAAACATTTTATGTGTACAGGCTTTGTAGCTTGTATCTTACTTTGAGATTTAAAAAAAAAAAATAATCCATATCATGTCTTTAAAACGTTTGTGCAGGCCATGTTGTCACACATGCTTCTTTCCATAGTAACATTAATATGTGAGATTGCATTTGTGAGACCATAATCAGGTCAAGGGAAGTAAATATCCCCCTCAGCTCACTACTTGTGAGGTTTCATCTGAACTACTGTGCCCAGTTTTGGGTTCCCTAGTACAAAACAGACATTGTCAAAGTGGAGCAAGTCTAATGGAAGGCCACCAAAGTGGCTAGGGGCCTGAAGCGCATGATATATGAGGAGAGTGATCGAGCTAGGTTTTTCCAGCTTGAAGAAGGCAAAAGGAGATCTGTGTGCTGTTTTCAGCTACCAAGTGGGTGATTGTAGGGAAGATAGAGCCAGGCTTATCTCACATGTGCACAGTAAAAGGATAAGAGATAGTGGACACAATTTGGAGCAAGGGAAATTCCAACCGGATATAAGGAAAAGTTTTTTTGCAGTGGGGATATTTAGACTTAGTAACTGGGCCCCAGAGAGGCAGTTTAATTGCCCTACTTTGTTATGCTCAGAACTTCACTGGACAGGCCCAGAGCAGCGTGACCTAACTTGGAAGCCATTCTTTGATTGGGGGTTTGAACCAAATGACCTCCAGAGATCCCTCCCAACCTAAATTATTTATTCATTTTATGATCTCTGTCACTTAATACTCCTTTATGTTGTATGAAGAAAATCAACAAGCTGCTGTGGCTTTGCTTCAAGCAACCTCTCTGATGTTTGTGTAGGAATCCCCATCGGAAGTGTTCATTGAAGGGATCTTCATTCCAAGTTATGAAAGTGGAAAACTGCACATGTTGGAGAACTTGCTGGAAACCATTGATCCAGGATTGGAGAGCTGGGGAGCCTACTTGATTGCAGCCTGCAAATACTTGCAGAGAAAGAACTACTACCATATTCTGTATGAGCTGCAACAGTTCATGAAGGTAAGATGAGGGTCAGTGCCATCTCTTTCAGTGAAATGTCGAATACTGACTTTTGATTATTTACATTGGTGTAAATCTGCATGATGGACAACTATATTTTTGCTACATTCCAATCCTAAAAAACAGAGAGGAAGGTGTGAGCCTGACTGAAGCTGACCTGCTGTGCGTTTGTCATGGATCTGGCACATTGCAGGAGCTTAACTATTGTTTTGAAGAAAACAGAGCATTGCCTGCTTTGTGTGAGCACTTTAGTACAGACAGCAGTTAGTGAAGGTGGTGTACTTTGGTTCATCTTAGTGTTCAGTATATTTCTTCTAGGATCACGTTCGTGCTGCCATGACCTGCATTAGATTTTTCACTCATGGAGCAAAGTCTTACACTGAACTGGGAGGCAAACAGACATGGCTTCTAAAGATCAAGGACCATCTCAAAGTCTATCTGCAGGAGGTCTCAAGAAGTTCAGGAAGGAAAAAAATGGCATTCACTTTCCGGAAGAAAATGTCTGCTACAGATGTGTCAAGGTATCTACAAACATGAACCTAAGTTACAGGAAAGGGGAAATTCAGGCTGTTGTCTTCTTTTCTTTTATTTTCTTTTCTTCCCCTCCCCGCCCCCCCCAGTGGTTGTGTTTAAGTTGGCTGTAGCTAACACACAGTAGCTCCCAACCCAGGAGATGAGCAAATGTTTCTACTAAAAATATCAGTCTATGTATCATCTACTTTCCTTTAATTTAAAAAACAAACCCTATAGTGCATAGACAGCTATGTATCAACCACAAGTTTTCGTGCTTCTGCTCTTCCATTCCTCTCCGCAAAGCAAGCAGCTTTGTGGTGCTTAGCTTCTTACCAGGGCTAACTCACAACATTCAACTATGTACAAGTTATAGGTGCCAGACATAACTGAATCCCTGTATTCAAAATGTGAAGTGTAAATTTAGCCAGATCTCTCTTTTACTTGGGCTTTTATATCTTGGTTTTCTTAGGGGCTTTTTTCTTTCTTTTTCTTAGTCTGGACTCTAATTTAAAGGTGGGGAGGAGTGTGTGTGATGAGGTGGAAAAGAGGGAGCCAGATATTTGGGATCCAGATTCTTTGGCTAACTTCTTTTGAAATAATGTGAACAAGTGCTCTCCTTCAGCTTGCGATGCATGTTAAGTGCACAGCTGAAAAGTATCTCATTGCTGCAGACTTGGCTACACAAAAGACGAAGTCCAAAAGTCACTAAAATAATTATTGTTTGGAAATATACCTTATTTTGAAATGTGTTGAAGAAATTAGTAAGTTCACATAAATAATAATTGACACTTTCTATTTCAAAATAAAGCCAGAATTTTTCCTTTATCTAGGCACATCAATACAGTTGATTTGCAGATGGAGGTAACAAAGTTCCTGCATCGATGTGAGAGCTCAGGAACGTGTCAAATGTCAGGTTCCTCCTTGCCCACACTCTTTGGAAACAATAACATGAAAATGGATGTTGCTTGCAAGGTACTTATTGCTATTTCAAACACAGCTTTATTTTTCATTATCAACATTAACTTGAAACATTTGATGGTTGGAGCAACCTCTTGTATTTTTCATGGGCGGGTTACTTGTCCATGTATGCAACCTACTGTTTATGAAAAATGCATGTTTTTCCTCAAAGTAGCAGAGAACACATGAGAACTTAGAGCTTCTCTCCTCAACATTCAAACTTTCAGAGGCAGAGCATCCTAAATACAAATAGTAACATGCCTTATGACTATATATCCTGTTGTGTTTTGAAGCAAGGCAAATACTGCTATTATTCTAACCCTTAACTTCAGCTCAGCTCCATCTGTAACTTGTCCAATGTCCCACAGGGAATCGGTGTGTGACAATAGACCCTATATTTGCTCTACTTGTTGGGGTGGTGCCGTTTTCTGTTGAAGTAATGCATTGTCTTTTGGGCTCTGGGCAAAATCTGGAAATGCATTATTATTCAACTCTATGTATGAAAAAGGAATGTGCATCCACAAACTTATCTATGCCTCTCTTTCAGGTCATGTTGGAAGGCAAAAACATTGAGGAGGGCTTTGGGATTGCATTTAGAGTCCTTCAGGTATGGAAAAACTTGATGTAACAAGCACTATTATTACAAAAGTAACTCCTGCAAGCAGCGATTGTTTAAGCAAAAGACTTTTTTTTGCAAAATGTCATTTAATCCCCCAAAAGAAAAACCTCTTGTGAGAAAAGTCACCAGTTGAAGTCTTAAAAGTCCATGTATTTGGAGGAAGCTTGGTAAGAAAATTAAGATGCTGCTTCAGTAAGACACTTCCAAACTAATTGGGTCCTACAGAGGAATTAAGTACAGCTTTTCCATTGCTGTGCACCTTGTTCAGTGACTTAACTCTGGCAAACCACAATCACAGATGTGAGTAGAGAGCTCTGATTTGGTAGCTCTCTGCAGTTCATGATAGCCATGCAAAGACACAGTGAATAAATAAGGCCAGGGCTATCTCTGTACTATTCTCCTGGCTGAGAGAGCAAAGCTGATTAACTGGAAGCTCTCTCTGGGTACCTGTCCTTCCTCATGTCTGGGTAGAAGTTGAGGTGCTTATCAGTCAGCATAGCTCATGAGCCTCCAAACTTCTCTGTGTGTTTCTCCTCCATATATTAGGAGCTGCTAAGAGATACTGCTTCAAGTAGTGCAGTTTGCATTTGCCTCCTGTCTGGGACAGAGGGTATAGCAGGGCCACTTCTGGACAGAGGTGGCACACTGAAAGAATATTTGTAGATATGGCAGGCCCTGCTCCTTTTTTCAGGTCAGGATGTACAAGGCAGAACACCTGTTCGTAGTGAGATGGAGAGCCTTAGAAAAGTAGCACTTCTTAGCAGCAACAGCAGTCACTAGCCCCCAGTAAAAATGAAGTAGTGAGTCCAGCTGTCTAGTATCACTTCTGTTTCCTTCCTTTTTCTTCTTTTCTTGCCTTATGCATGGCAGGATCAGTCTACAGCTTTTATCGTCTCTTCCTTCATATGGGAGGTGTATGATGGTCATTTGCCTCCTGTTTCTTAGGGTACACAAAAGGTGGCTGCTGGTGAAGTGGCTGGAGGAATATAGTGGAAGCTTGCTAAGTGAGGGAGAGGTGGGTAGGGACCTAGGAAGGATCATTTGCCAGAAGAACTTAAAACTGATTATTTGCCACCCCTGAAAAGGAGGTAGTAACAGTGCTCTTGTTCTTGAGCAAAATTGAGTTTTACCAGTCTGATTATAGAAAACTTAAGCCAAACCTGAGCAGTGGTGACTGGAAAATCAGAGGTCCCCAAAACAGCTTTGACTTTTTTGAGGATGGTGTGATATTTTGTCCTTAGGAGAGATTGTCTCAGTTGTATAGACTCCTTGTGAGAAAACGTGCTGAGAACATTTAATGTGTTGCTCTGATGTTCCAACTACCTCTAGGACTTCCAGCTGGAGGCTACAGAAGTGTACAGCAAAGTGGCCAAGCAGCTGGTGAACCAGCAGAAGTACAGCGAGATCCGGCAGCTCCTCAAGTGTGTCAATGAGTCTGGAGTTGCAGCAAAAAATGATGGGGACAACATTATCCTAAATTGTCTAAATGAGTTCAAGAACATTCCTGCTGAGGTAATTCTATCCTGCATTGTGTCCCTTTTGAAGTAAAATGGGTATATACAATACAGACTACAGGGAAACCATCCTGTGGTGCCTGTGCTGCTCTTCAGTGGGTCTTTCATATCTTCTGGCTCTGTACTACATGCATTGTTTAAAGGTGAGAGTATGTGGTTTGCCTTATGCAAGTTACTCTGAGAGGAAACGATAAGTAGCTGTAGCATGCTCCTACCCTGCACCTCCCAAATGAGTACCCATGATGGGGAGAGAACCTTTGCTCCACAGGATCCTGCCAAATGCTCCTGATTGGGGTGGGAGGTGTTCCCTTCAGTGAGGCTTCCCCACCTACCACAGAGGATGTGTGGAGGGAGAAACCTCCTGCCTCCATAGGAAACAATTTTAAGATTCCCTTTGCCTACCACAGTGTCTTTTCCATCCCAGTGAAGGGAGGAGATGCTCTCTGTCAAGTTCTACTAATCAGGCTAGGGGATGCGGTCCACCCCGTGGGTCAGGGTGGGCCATGGGGGCTGACTCCTGCTGGTGTGCAGACAACCAACAAATTCATTTCATGCAACGCGAGCCATGTCCATGGGGGACTCCGGGACTCATAGCATTCTCTAGGGACACCCCACAGACATGGCACTGGACTGCCTATTTTCTATATCTGCAGCACTCGCAGTTGGGACAATGTAACCATTTAGCTGGGATCTCAGCAGCCCTTCCTCTATGCAGGGGTTTGGTCCCTGATGGGGTAAAGGTTTGTGAACTATAGTCACTCTAAACGTGAACATCTTTTCCCTTCTTTGGATGCAGGATCTTGATAATCTGATTCAGGATATGGACAGTGATGAAAACAAGGTAAGTAAAACTACCGTAGAGGAACTCCTTTAGCAAGAGCTAAACAGCCCAGTCTTGGTCTGCAGGCTATATCTTCCACCATCTTCTCTGTCATCCTCACTCAAGCCAAAGTTTTGAAGGCCACTGCCTGAATTGTAGAAATCACAGTGAATTCCTCAAGGCTGTGGTGGTTGTGACTGTAGAGCTGTGATGTGAAGGTACCAATTGATATTATCCTTATTAGTTCCTTGACAGTCCTCAGAGTGAGGGCTAGGCATTTGTTATAGTGCGAGGAAAAGTATTTCAGAGGGGTGCATTGGTGGGTTTGTTGGTTTTGTTACCCAGCTTTTCGCTGAGGTGCATGTAAGTTTCTAGTAATGGCAGACAGGTAACGAGGATCACCATACCTCCAAGGTGACCATTTCAGCATATTGTTGCAGGATTATACTATTTCTATTGTGATTGAGAGTTAAATGATAAAACTTCTCCAATTCTGATGTACTTTTTTTTTCTTGGAGGCCTAAACTACTTTGTTTCTTCAGTAGTTTTCATACCAGCCAGCCAAGCCACTGGAGAGTATGTGAACTGTAGATGCACATTTATAGATGAAGAGGCTTTGGGTCAGCATTTGTGGATTGTTGTAGATTCTCAGTGGCATAGCTGGGAATAAAATCTTAAGATTTGTGACTGTCCTCTGTCCTTCTCCAACTGACAAACTCACTGTTGTATGTAGATTGAAAAACGGGCTTTTCATTCTGCCTTTATGTAAGATCTGTCACTGAAAAATGTGAGCTGTTCTAGAACCAGCAATGGAAGAAAATTACTGGTTTAGACTTTTTGCTATGAGGATATGGTAAATTAATGCACTAGATAGGATTCCTGCTGCTAATTTCATGGTGATACAGTAAAGGAGTTTCCACAAGAGACAAACTTAATAAAACACAGCTGTCTATCCATCTTTTACATTGGGATCTGCTCCATGTCATGCTTGGCTTCATAATGTGCTGCTACTGCCTTGTACAACACACTTCTGAACTAGGTATTTCTAGTGAATCCTTGCTTAAGCTTGTCCTGTTGGTTTACCACAGCTTTCTAACCAAGTTCTGACTGCCTCTTCTGCTTCAGATCCAGGCCTACGTGATGTGCAACAAGTTGCGTTCTGCCTATCTAGTCTCAGTGAGACAGGAGAAGACCAGAGCAGTGCAGCTAGTCCAGCACGTGCGACAGCTGGCTGAGAACAGCGGAGATGACGTTGTGAAGGCCATCTGTGCCCAATGGCTCTCGGTGCACCAGCCCAAAACAAGAAATCGGCTTCCCCAGGGCACTAGGAAGTAATAAGTGATTGACGTTCACCATCATACAGAAGGGGAAGGCTTCAAGACAGCTTAAAGGTGTGTGGTTCAGCAATCTTTTGGTAAAATGGAAGCCTCTTGATTGATGTTGGTGGGAAATGGATGCTGCTAATGTGCCTCTGGTGAAAGGAAAGGAACTAAATTACAAGTGCCAGTCCCGTATTTTGACAAACAGTCACTACCTCAGGGTGTTTTTTGGCTATCTTTTTGATGGGGGGGAGGGGGCAATTTCAAACTGAACAAGAATTTAGGTGTATGGAAGAGAGCGCTTCTGGTTTTGGCTTGGGTTTTTTTGTTGTTGGGTGGGGGGGGGGGGGGCAGTTGTCATCCTCCCCGCCCCCCCCCCCGAAAGGCACTGAACTTTATTGTATGGTTTTTTATTTTTAATCCGGAAATCCTATATAGAAAGGACAGAAAAATTTCATCAACTCAGTGTAGCCTAGAGTATAAAACTCTTTGTGATTATGGGTTTCCTGTAAACTTTTTCAAGATTGGAGAGATCTTCTTTTACAAAGACTGAAATTCAGAGATTTTTTTTTTTTAAGCCTCTATACAAACCATTGCTTCCCCCCCCGCCCCCTAGTACAATGTGCCCAATTTCTTTAGTTTGTTTGAAAAGGTAGGAACTGATTCTTCATGGTAGGTTTCTACTTACCAGTCATGCTGTCAGATGTGTGCCATACATACGGCACTTGAGCCCTTACTAGGTGGATGAAGTTATAAAGGGCATATCCTGTAAGGGGAGTACAAAGGGAAAATAATCCTTGAAAATAGTTGAAAAATCACATACCTCTTTCTTTGTTGTGGTAATATCCAATAAATTATTGTGATGCAGCTTTCTCACTGAACAGTTGCCAGTAAACTTCCACAGTTTTTCATCAGGTATGGCAGAAAATATGGATAGAGCAAGCTGTGGTAAAATTCAACAGGTGTCTGCATCCCTGTCACAGAGGTATGTATTTGCTTGTTAGCAGAATAATCTGTCCCTGTCAGGTACAATAGAACATCGGACAAAATTTTTATGAACTGGACATACTGTGTAGACTATATTGACAGGATTTGCTCTGGAAGTGTTAGGTTAACTCAGTTTTATGAAAAAGCAGGGATCTTTGTGTAATGGCTGTGTTCAGGGGTGCTGAAAAAAGCAGCTGCTTCTCTGCAACTGTGATGGGGACGTGAGAAATGGGCAGAAGAATGGTAGACAGTAGTAGGACCTTCAAAAAGAAACGGAACAAAAAATGGCACTCTGCAAGAGTTTGCGTTTGCTGTTTACGTGTATTTCAGCACAAGAAATAGGAAAATTAGTTCACTTTTTCTGTTAAGAAGTTTAGTTGTTTACTTCAAAAGAAACAACAGGTTTTCTGAAGTGTAATGTAACTGTAAATAGTTTTAGTACCTAAAATAATTGAGACTGTCAAATATGAGTTTTGCACTATCCCCAAGTTCACTGTAGTGACACAACAGACTTCCATGGTATTGGAAAGGACTTGGTCCATCTCCTGTAGGGTTTGATGACCACTGCCCCACTGACACAAACCCCTCTCTTGGAGGTGCTCCACCCACCAGAGCAGGGCATGTCTCAGAGCAAAGCGGTCAGAAATGACCACATGTAGCTTTCAGAATCTCCTGACCGCAGATTTGCATTATCTCATTAGTGAGCAGTACTAATGAAAGGTTTTGCTTTCATGGCCAGACTGACCTAGCTTTCCATCAGATTACAGCCGTCAGGCTAATCCTAAAACCTGACACTATCCATGCCTTCGATCATTTCCAAATCTCTAATTATAGGGAGGAGGTTTTACTGTTTGTGGGTATCTAAATCTGCAGTGCTGTAATAACTACTTTTCTGCTCAAGCTCCTTCAGCTGTATAGAGCACAGAGAGTGGAATTTGCCATGCAGACCAGTCAGTTCTGTACCTGCCTTTCTTCCTGACCTCTTTGCACTGTACCTGATGCACTTTATATAGTGTTTGTTGTAATTTGATGTTCTTAACCTGGAATTGTAGGGATCTTTCTCTTACCAGCAGAACTGGAATTTTGATCCTGACTAACTGCCTTGTGTCATGAATAGTGCAATTATAAAGGGGCTTTGAATTTTTGCGCATCAAAAAGGGATTGAGTACTGCCAGTTAAAAAACTTGTCTATTAATGACCAAGGTTTGTTTACAATAAAAAAAGAGAATAAAGTATTATGACTGTTAACGTATCTTCTGTTTGCTTTTTATCTCAGCATAGCTTGGGATCTCTTTCTAGATCTGTATGTTGCTTTTGGCTATGCTTAGCAGAGTAATTAGAAGAGGGAGAATTGTTCAGTCATGCAAAATCTCTCTCTGCTACAGTGTCCTCAACATTTAGATCAATTGGAATATCACATCTTTATACGTCCTCCCAGTAGCTAGGTAGCTAGCTCAGTCTCGTACATGTACTCTCACAAACCGGTAATCCTCTTTAGGTAGCTTTGCATGTTAATCTAACTCTCCCTTACAAGCCTCCCTTTGTGACAGCTAAATGAGCTTTAGTTCCCTCATTTTACAGATTAGCCTAGAAGAAGGTATACATTATTTGCCCAAGGTCAAAAAGAGTGGGTGTGTGTCTATCGCAATGTGTGGTTACATGTCTTATGTTAAATCTACAACCATACTTCTTTGAGAAGAGGATTGACCTGCAAGGGCAAAATATTTCAGCCTAGAGACACTTTCTGCTTTTTTTTAAAATGGTTTCTGTTGCTCCTGGAAGCCACTTTCAAGATCAGAGAATCACACACAGAGAAAGCAAGCCAAGCCTGCAGTGCTAGGTAGCATTCTACTGCTACACTGTAGTTGTGGATTTAGTTTCATATTCAGGACGAAGCATAAAGAGGGAGGAAAAAAGGTAGAGTGACAGGGAGAAACACACAAACGGACTCCAAAATGTTACCCAAACTGAGTTCTCTACATTAGTAAGGCAGGTGCAGATAACAGCAACACCAAGTAAACCCGATTCAACATTTGTGAAGGAAGATACAGTCTCCTGTTGTAAAGGAAAATGGCTTTATTTAGTATTGCTCAGAGGTAGCACAGGACTGATCTGCATAAATACCATCCAGGCAGAAAGAATTAATCATAAAATTAGCATTTGTTTCCCAAAACTGGCAGTTGGTCACAGTGGCATGCTCATATGAAAGTCAAAAAACTTCCAGATTTTTTTTTCAGAAGCAGAAGTTAATCCTATGAGCTGTGGCACTCTTTTGAGCAGTTTTCTAACTGTTTAACTCTTTCAGAAATTATCTTCAATTATGGATCACACCCTAACAATTTGCAACAAAGTAGCACTAGAGTTCCAAGGGAGCAATTCCATTACTATGCGGATTGACCCAGCTGCCTTTTGGAAGTGCAAGCTGTATGGTACTGCAAGGCCAGGCTGGCAGCCTTGGCCAGCCAAGGCCAGTAACTGCTGGGCAGACAAACATAAGGGTTTCTGTGCAAGTCTTGTGTTCCTGTCCTGTAGCTAACTTGACCATAATATTAAGATAGCCCTGACCTCTGCTTCAGCTATTTAGCTCTAGGTAGTCTGCTGTCACTTAAAGCTACAGGCTTAGCTGAAGTTGTTTAAATTTTTTTTAACATAGTTGAGATGTTCTTTACTCATTCTGCTTTCTTTTCTAGGTTCTAAAGTCATTTAAAGTGCAGCTGGGGGGTTTATTGTGACAACTGTTACACCATCCTTGCTCAATGCTTCACAGGAGAGGTGTGTGGGGTTTTTTAATAAGATAACTTGCCTATGCACAATTGCGGCACTCCTGCAGCTTTTAACCTCCCAGTCACCTGCACTGAGCTGGGTTCTTAAAAGACATGCCAGCCCTCAGTTAACTTACTGCAATCAATGGGCATTTGGGGCAAAGATACTTCAGTGGCTAGGGTCCAGCTTCTTACAGAGAATATAGAGAAAAATAATTGATTCCACTTAAAAACTTTACCTAATGCTTGGCACAAAAAGGCCAGCACCTGTTTCTGTGTGCTTGTGAGCATTTGTATTGCATGTAATTGCCAGAAAATCTAATATCCTAAAGTACTTTCACTCTGCCAAGTCAAATAGTAGGAACTGAAACTAACCTCACAGATCATAAGTTTAGAGCCCTACGTTTTTACTATTACTGTTAGGAATAAAAAGCTTTAAATAAAGGTAATTCTTTGTTACTTCATAATCTAAACCTAAGACTGCAACCTCCATTTCTATTCTAAAGCCAGAGAACAATAGCCTCTGGCTGTTGTGTGAGATAACAAGCAAAGGTTGCTCCCTGTGTTGGTGCTCTTAATTCTCCAGCTAGGCAAGGGGACTGGTTGCTTACAAATCTCAATCCTTAAGTGTAATATTCCAGAAATTCATGTTACGTTGTGTCCATAGAACCATCATTAGGGCAGCTGAAGTATCAGCATTCTAGTCTTGAGGTCTCTCGGCAGTGCTCTTCCCAGGAGAAGCATCGCTGGGCTTAGCCAGGTACACACTTGCGGCCTGCGCTGCTCAGTCCCACTGGATGCCAAGGAGCTCACAGCTCACACTCCAGAGCTTCTTTGCTGTCTCATCATCCCGACCCCGTGGAGATACGTATGCTGGCTGGCAATCACTGTAAGAGGAACACTTTTTATTTTTTAAGTCAAAGATCTCCATCTGCGTTAGCACACCGAAATGTCTCTGTTAAGATAAGGGAGTTGCTTTCTATCAGCTTAACTTCAAGACCAATTGAAGAAGGGTGGGAGGCTATCCAGCAAATGAGCAAGGGTTGGTGCTAAGCCACCTTGAGAAAGCTTTCTTTCCAGCTCACTAGGGAAGAATCTTCCCGTATGGCACCAAGAACTGGCAAGTGAGTTTAGCTCTATCGGTTGTCTCAACTCTTACAGAAACCTATATATGCTCTACTATATACTCTTCAGTGTACATTCTCATTCATACCACTAAAAAGGGCTATAAACGCTAACCAGGCTTCTTCAGGAGCACTTTTTCTAGTAAACACTACAAAAAAGCCACTCAAACAGCCTTCATTCTCAACTATTTACCCTATCCTGTTCATCCCACTATATTGCCATTGCATGAAAGGCAAAGCTGCCCCAGAATAATAATACTGTAATAACCATGTATCTTTATACCCTTTTCCATTATCCTCTGAACTGTGGCTCCTTTCTTCTCAGCTCCTGCAATCAGACAGCACTCTGGCTTGGAATAGAGATTATGTGTTCTCATCTGTAATGCTAGATGCTGCAGTAACATGGGAATTTAAGAGAACAGAGGAAATTGCATCTCGCAAGATTTCTATCCAGCCTAGTGTTTTTAGAGCTCCAAGTGCACAGTCTCTGATGTTCCTGAAATTACTGTGGTGGACTCCACCTGTCTTGCTATGGCAGGCAATGTCTTTTCTTAATGTCTATACTTGTGCTTTATGTTCTATTGCCTGGAAAGTGAAAAGGATTTTAGGCTGGTCTAATGTAATTTCTGAATTCTTGTTGAAGCTATTAATTTCCCACAAAGTCTAAAACTCCTTTCTTTTATGAGTTTAAAATCCACTAGAGTTTTCTGTACACCAGCATGTAAATGCTCCATTTATATCCCGGGACAGACAGTCATCCAGGGAAGATTAAGACATCTATTTATATAATCAAGTCTGATTAAGATGGTACAAACTCCCAAATGAAGATCAGACGGAGTCATTACAGAGACGAATCTGGTCACATATCACAAGAGGAAAGCTCTGCAAAGATGCAAAGGCTCCAACAGTATCCATGTGGGGAGAAAAAAAAAAAGATTATGAATTTTCACATTCATTTCCCAAAAACCAGTATTGTTACACTGCTTTACACCCAGTGGGAAGCTGACAGATGTATCTGCGTGGATCTGTTCAAATGGCAGTCTTCAAATCTAGGACGATGATGAGTTGGAACTGCTCTGGGCTGTAGTTTTGGTGAGGGGAAAAGGCATGACTATGCAGGGTCCTGCAGTAAGTCAAAGTCAAGCAACAACAGGGTTTGTAGTGGGAGCTACACAAGACAGTTTGCAGGACAGAGCGATAAGCATCCCAGCCGAAGTCCCTCCCAGCTGGTGGGTCTGTCACACTGGAGAATCAAGTTATTTTGTCACATGCCAGTCCTGAAAATCTCACCTCCTAGCTATGCAGCACCATCAGCACTCCCAGCTCCCTGGGAGCACAGGCTCCTTCTGCTCCAGTGGGGTAAAACTACAAAGAGAACCAAAGTGGTCTTCCCAGGATTGACTCAAGTGACCTCATTAACTAAACAGCTCTATTGAAAAGTGACTTGCCCAAGTCTCAGGCAGATCAGGATTAGAGCTCTGAGCAGGTGACAGCCATTCCTGTGCTTTGAGTACAGTGATATTCCTAGCCCTAAAGGACTTGCTGTTGTGTGAAGTGTTGCACAGGTCAGGGATTTCTTCTAACACGATATCCACTGCAACAGACCTGGAAGGGGTAATGCTCTAGTATTTGTCACCCTCAGTCTTATCAGCCAGCCTCTTACCCAGTCCCTTCTTAATAAAGAATGACAGTAATCATCATTTTCCCCAGCCAACAAGGTTGCCTTCCACAGTGTATCACTCCATCAGTTTGCACCCACCTGAAATACTGTCCTGTCACAGAGTCTAGCTCCTCTGCTACTGCACAGTAGACACTGGTCTGAGCTCCTTCCCAAGGTGTCTTCAAGAAGAATGAGAATATCTTCCACAGCCACGTCATTACAAATGAGTGCCGGACCAGGTCAGAATGGACAGAACCAGGATGGAGAGCGTTTGCTGTGACTTTAGTGCCTATGGCAAAAGAAAACAGTCCAGGACAAATCTGTATGCACCAAACTGCATTTTGAAAAAAAAAAAAAAAAGGGTAATATACTCCTAAATTCTACCTGCTGATACTCTACAACTTAAAGGAGGAGTCCAAGCATGGATACAGGGAGAGGTAAGTGAAGTCCTCTGTAGTCAACTGCTTGCTGGAGCATCCCCTGCTCCCTTCCAAAGGCTGCAGTCACTACACGCTTTCTGCAAAATGATGTGCTAGAGGGCCTGGGTGCGCTACAACAGCAGCAGTTTCCATCAGGCTTTGGAGAACACCAGCTTCTTTTGAGTTACTGTAATACTAATTTCCTAGAGAAGACAGTGCTTCTGTTTTAGTACAATAAATACTACTTAAGTTTATGAAAAGGACTAAATTGACATGGCTGTGACAGATGTTGTGACTTAGGTATTGTCTAGTCCTATGCTTCTGTTCCGCAGGCCATCAGCATTTAAAGCAGCTGAGTATGCATTAGCTTTTCTATTGGAGACTGCAACTGTAGTTCAGCTCCTTCTGTTTCTTCAGCTTCCACCCACATAGCACAATTGTCTGCATGGATGCAGGTAGTTTTTGACAAGCACCAAAGAAAAATGAAATACATTCAACTGTGCCAAGCTACTAAACTCCTCTGCCCTGTTGTTGTAAAGACAATTAGTGTTTTAAGTCTCCTGGTTCCACAGACAGGAGATATTTTCTTCCTGCAAAGAGCTGTCAATGACCCTTGCCTCAAACCATTTCATTTCTGCATAGCCAATCTCCAGACTTCTCTTCAATCCACTCTCCTCTTCCATGGTGCTCAAAAGCCAAGCGGAAAAACACTCCGCTCTCCTGTGGGACTTGCCTTGCAGCCGCCTCGCCAGCTCCCGGGTGAAGAGCACGTTAGCCAATTTGCTGTGACAGTAGGCGAGGCCACGATTGTAGCTCTTCTCACCATGGAGATCATGGAAGCGGATTCGGCCTCCGTGATGAGCCAGTGAGGACACGTTCACTATGCGGGCTGGGGCAGACTGCTTCAGACGCTCCAGCAATAGGAAGGTCAAGAGAAAATGACCTAGGGGTGAGAGGCAATGTCATCCTTCTCCGAAGGTTCCCCTGCTGGAATTTCAAAGTACTTAAAACATATTACTTACAAGTTGTATCTTACTGCTGCCCACTTCTGTCCAGGAAACAGAATACCCCCCTGAATCAACAGCTAAACTTTTTGGAGCCCATTAAGTTCTGCTCCTCAGCTTCAAAAAGCTGGAGCTGTCATACATTTCAGATGTCCCAGGTAACAGGTACAGATACTTAAACTGGGTCCATGATAAGAAAATGCATTGCATTGCATCTCCAGAACGCTTAACTCTGGCCTTCCATCCTTCCCCAAGAAGAAAGGATGAGGAAGAGAAAATCTGAAAGCAGGATTTTCCTCTGGCATTTTGCCCCAGATATTGAATGCAAACATGACTCCACTGGCCTTACCAAGATGATTGACTCCCAGGTGCATCTCAAAGCCATCAGCAGTCTTGGAGTAAGGGCATAACATGACCCCAGCGTTATTAATGAGAATATGGAGTTCCTTCTCCTCTGCAAGAAACAACAGATGTCCTTAAACAGGGACACCAAGACTGAAGACAGACAAGAAGGTGGCACAAGTCAGCCAAAAAAACCCACGCCTGTCTGAGCTGCAGCCACGTTACCTCAATAAAATAAGGGTAAGTCTCTTACCACAAGCTAGCTCGTGGCTGTGAACCGCAGTACCGAACATGGTACAGATGTATGCAGGTCAGGGATTTGGCATTTGCTAGAAGAGCAGACAGCAGTCCTTGGTAAGGTAAAATACTCTCACTGAAAAGAAGGATCTAGAGACTGTACCTGCTAGAAATTTCTGAGCAAATTCCCGGATGGACTTCGTATCGGCCAGGTCCAGTTTTTTCACAATGACTTGCTGGTTCCCTGTCTCAGCTCGGATTTCACTGGCTGCAGCTTCTGCCTTCGCTATGTCTCTGCAAGCGACAATCACCCTGGCACCTGCAAGGGTGGGAGGAAAAAAGCAGGAGCAGAAGCTGAGATCACTAGAGCACACTGGATGATCAAGGTCATGACAAGCAGGCTGACTATTCACAGTGCTTACAAACAACGTATTGTTTCTTTAGGGAATTGGCATCAGTCAGGGGAGCAGCTGGGAGAGACAAAGCCTTTCCTACTATGTTGTTAGCTCCAATCCAGCCGAAAGCTGTTCTCAGACCAGGAAAATCCATGTCTGAAGTGCCTCTGTCCAGGTTTTCCCAGGTCAAAAGTGTGTACCACAACACTGGTACGATAGGGTTATATCTGTCCCTATAATGGGAACGTCAAGCCAGGAGCACGTGAAGATACTTGGATTCCAGCCAGAGTAATTTCTAAATGGATTGTGAACAGGTAGTTTAATCTCCTTACCAGTTTCCCAAAAAGCATTTAAACGAAATTAGCTTGAAACATGAATATCTAAAGCACGCAGCAGCGTACCTATGGCATTTCCCAGCTTCATACGAGCAGAACCCACCGATACCAGGAACTTCCCTAGTCCTCTGAAAACAGTTGCAGCGCAGAGCATTTTCATGTCACAAGGCACATTTTTGGAGTTCAGGCAATAAAACCTGTTGAGGAACTGGGGACTTGGGCCTCAGTGGTTACGGCCTCTGGAGGAGCGATACTTGGGCTCGTCTGAAATAACTTGGGAATCCAACTCACTTAAATGTAAGCATACGCTACCCCTCCCTCAGATGCAGAAAAGGGACTACTGACGCCCAGGCACGCCCACGCCAGCCGCAGAGGGGTGCCCGCTGGCCGAGGCCGGTGACTTGCCTCTTCGCGCGAGGTCTCTGGCAGTCTCCTTCCCGATGCCGGTGTTGGCTCCCGTGATTATCACCACCTTCCCCTCCAGCTTAGCTGTTGACTTACACTGGCCTCCGGCGACATACCTCCTGCGAGAGAGGCCGGCAGCGCTCAGGGACGAGGTCCGAGGGCACCCTCCCTCCTCGGGGGCCTCGGGCCAGGGCTCGGCACCCAGAGCCCCAGGTTTTGCCCCGAAGGTCGGGCCAACCGCTGCGCCCAGGGCCCCGGGGAGTCACGGGCGTCGTTACCCGCAGCGGCTGATCGCGATCGTGTCGTGACCGGGCCGCCGGGA